CATATGCTTGCGAGCTAACTTGCTTTAAACGGTAAGCTAAAAATAGACCGACCGGTGGCTAGAGTGGAAAGAATGTCGTCTTCACTTTCCGAAGGGTCAGGCAATGATGCGATCTTGGACCACTAGAACTGGCAGGATGTAGAGAGCATTTACACGTTTCTGTCGACAAGGCCAAACCCGAAGTCCTCGAGCGACTTGCACAGGGGCCCAAGGTCGATCAAGGTATCAAAGAGCTAACATCACCGACGCTGAAAGGAAATGAAAGTAGAAGAAACAATCGAAATTGAAGAAGCAGACAGGCTTCGTCAACGACGTCTTCGGTAAAGGGCACCTCGAGAACTACCGTACGGTTAGCGTGGCGACAATTATCCCCTTTAAAACAGAAGAGGACATCGTGCTGTAACTGAGCTCTATGAGGAAGGAAGGCTATCCAAGCTAGCAAATATGCTGGAGCTAAAGGCGCTCGAGGTAGTGGCTTACGAAGAGGTATTGCCTGACGTCTTCAGCTAGTCATATTCTAAGAATAATTCTCGAAGGCGTCGCTATAAGCGCAGACACAAGCTGCCAAAATGTGCACGGAGTCACCAACGGCAAACTACTCCAGAAGACGCAACAAAGCCCAAGTTTCGAGGTGGTGTCAAAGCGGCTATCGTCAAGCAATATCTGCAACGTCTTTAGCGCGGACCATACAGGTATGTACTCACCGAACGCTAAGATGATTTGTACTAACCGCTCTACTCTGACGTGACTGATCCATAGCCATCGTCTTCGAGATTCTACCGCGGAACCCGATGCAAAAATACGGTTTGAGAGTGATGTGCAGCGGTAAAGATAAAAATCGAACGACGGCAATGCTTCTAGTAGACTGGCATGGCAACAAGATGACGCCTTTTTTATCATTACAGCTGGTGTATCACTTTGGTCACAGAGACAACATAAGTGATAAGACGCTTATCTTGTGGGACGACTTCTCGGGCAAGAAGATATCTATTATGCAGCAAAAGTTAGTTTTAATACACTCGCGACATATTTATTGTGCTTTGCAGAACGGTCGATTTGGCTGCCGTAGCTCAAAATTACATCCAGTCTCGCTATATCAATGTGTAATTTTTATAGACCTCGATTTAATAAAACGATCTCTATTTATTCTAAATCGAGCATCAGACTAAGTGAAAGAGACAAAAGCGTTGAAATGCACAATACGTGTGTCAGCACAACGACGTGGCTTGGAATCGCACGTTCAAGGCTCACTTGCGTAGACGCTGGGTGGAGTGTCTTCGGTCCGAAATCACTCGCCATTACGATGAGGAAAGGCCCCGTTGTGCAAAAGCACGCAGAAGGCTCGAGAAAAAAATCACAAAACTCCACAAGAAGATTGAGAGCTCGAAATTTGAGCTGGAAGCATCTAAACGCCAAGATATTGCACCTTCGTTCGCTAAGTTGTGGAGAGAACTCAGTGTAGCTACTATAGTTAGAGGATTCGCTAAAGTCGACCTTTAAGGTGATTCCCGGAGCGCTGGAGCTGCCGAAGAGCAGGGCAAAGATCAAGGCATTGATGCGGTACTCGACGGACTTGCTGATCTTGGAGTTGCGTACAAGCCAGTCGACTCAGAGGACGATTTTCTTAAGCAGTGATATTCTGATGAAGATTTACTCATTTAAACTGATCTATGCTGAATTGTTTTCGAAAGGTAACCGAGTGAGCTTGGACCCGTAGCTCAATCGGCAAATCTACAGCCCATGATTTCTACACTACGATTTCTACATGATTTGGCCCATGGCTGACCATGTTTGTAATTTAAAATATTTTCCCGTTTTAAAATGCAGGCGCGAAAGCCAGTCATTTATCTGACACGCGTCACGAGAAGGCGAACCGCTCGCCACTGCTGCCCGCGCGTCCTGGCAAGACCCCAAGACCCCCGCCAGCCGACAGCGGCCTCTCTGCGCCTCCTTTCCCACGTCTGCCCGCAGGTACGCAGAATCTTATATGCTCCATCATCTTCATTGACGCGTACAGGACGCAAACTAACTCTTCCTGCTGCTGAATCATGTTGTGTTGGACTGTAGCGAAACTACTTCGTCTACGTCTCGCAGCAGCCGAAAGCGTGCGATCACCGATTGTGACGAAGAGTTGTATTATATGCCTGCCCTACCGAAGTATCATAAGACATGGAAAACTCTGGATCGGTACCTGAAAACGTATCAGCGGGATACTTTGACGGTGATGTCAATCTCTGAGACTCAGAATGTCAGACTACGCAACCAACAAATCGTAAAGCTGAAGACACATGCAGGCAAATCTGCATCTGAGCTACCACTCGTGCCAGAGCAATTGAACCCGTTTCAGCGAGTTTACATCTGTACACATGGGTTGAAGTCATGGATTCGCTCGAAGGGATCAAGACCGCGGCATATAGTCAAGGGTACCGGGTGTTCATTTCGCTTCAGAGCCCAATTTGTGCAGCGATCGAGTGGACAGTGGTGCATCGAGATTAAGCAGGCGTTTTGCGGTCACAGCCATCCTATCTTGGAAGATGTTTACAGAGCATACCCTTCTGTACGTCAGATTCCGAAAGATGCGCCTATTATGAGTGATTTGGAGTTGATGGTTGCCAGTGGCAGCAAAGCCAGTCGGATTTACGACTACGTGCGCGAGCGGACACCCCATTACGTGCAGCTGAAAGATGTCTACAATCTTACTGCCAAGATCAAGAGCTCTGGTACGTAGTTAGTGGACACTAGTCATACGTATTCTTAGCGACGACCAATCGTAGTGACTGCTAATATCTGCAGTTTTTAGGTGGCAGATTAACTGATGAAGATTTGGTTTCAGAAGTGTTGGTAAGCTTCGAGCTGGAGTCGCTTTGAAATGTGGCTGCGGTCGATGAAAACGCAGCCGGCCATACTGCTGTCGTGACCATAAGTTCTCAACACACGCGGAAGCTGTACAAACGATTCCCGGAGATACTGCTCGCTAACTGTACACACAAAACAAACCGGTGAGTAAGCCATTCAACCATGGATTGACATGATTTGCCCATGTATTTTATTTGTCCATGATTTATTGACCATGTTACTGGACCATAATTGCCATGTTTTGCCTGTTACAGTTACAACTACCAGCTTCTCACATTGATGGTCATGGATCAGTTCGGTCAAGGCCAAGCGGTGCAGCACTCGGTCATCGAAAGAAATGCAGATTGGCACATGGAAAAATCGCTGGAGCAATTTCAGGCTGTCAACGACTGGGGGAGGCCCAAGATCATCATGGTTGACAAAGATCTCAACGAGATCGAGGTGTTTCGGGCAATGTTTCCTGGTGTGCGGGTCTTAATCTGCCACTTTCATGTTATCAAGTTGTTGAACAGTGCGATTCGAGATGACAAGAAATACGGAACTTACCCAAGTGACGTTCTACAGCATATGGATTTTTGTGTCTCGAACATAGTGTACTCGAAGTCTGACGACGAGTTCCAGCAACATTTGGTCGAGTTCAAGCACCTGGCTTGCAGTGACAACCGAACCGCATTGTGGCTTTACTTTAAGATGAACTGGGTCAACTGCCAAGAGATGTGGGTCATGCTACATCGAATGAATCTTCCTCATTTTCGCAGCAACACGACCAATAGATTGGAGAACTTCTTCGGGAAACTGAAGGCTAACCTGGACTGTTCGATGTCCATGAGGCAATGATGGATGCAACCATTAAATATCAGCGTCGCAAGGAAGACGAGTACGTGGCGCGTGTGATTATGCCGAGAACTCAGCGTGACATCACAAATACGATGAAGAAATGAACCAGCTGCTTGGTATGGCTAGTGAGTGGCTGGCAGAAGTATTCGCGCCAGCGTACAAGCTCGCGCAAGACCCCACAAATTTAAGCAGTTACACAGTTGAGGATGAGGACCTCTACGTCACTTTGCAGCGCGACGGGATAAAACATCGCGTTGACAAATTCAACTGGATGTGTTCGTGCGAGTTCTCGGCGACTATGAAGCTGCCGTGTCGCCATGCCATGATGTACCGCAAACACCTCGCGCACCTCCTTACAATCCCGTACTCGTCGATACCAGCCGGGTGAGGAGATACTATTTACGTCCATGTTCTACAATGATTAACTATATTTCGAATGCCATGTTTTTCCCATGATTTAACCATGTCTGGATCTGAATAGGTGGCTACGTGTCGAATTATTGGAAGAAGATCTGCAGGCTGTAGATGTTCCACGGATCAGTACTGCGACTGATGAAGTTCGTCGAAAGAAGAGGATGACAAGATCACGACAAGCTCAAGAGTGCTCAGAGCGTGTTTAGCCGAATTACAGCTGAGTGACTGATCTTCTTGATGACAAGTTTGCTGCAGCTCTAGAGAATTTGGAGAGTTGGTGGGGGAGCTTGCGGCAAGGGTGTGTGGTGATGAAAATACTCTCTACTACACTAGACGATAAAGAAGCTACACTTCCACCCATGACGGACGCTGATGACAAGGCTTCAACCCAGGTTGCAACTAATGCAGAGACCGAAGAAAAGGACTAAAAGAAGAAGAGGAAGAAAGTTCTGAAGCCATATAACCCGATAAAACGTACGGGCCGGCCTAATAAGAATAGAGCAGGAGAAGCAGCCACGCGCAGTCAGCAACGAAAAGAGTACAACAATGGATCCAAGCTGAGAAGTGCCCTGTGAGGAGACGACATCGTATACGTACAAGAATTCATTACGAGTTGTCAGCCTCCTCTTCTGGATCTGTCATCGTATATCAACACCACTGAGGCTCGGTATAATGGCCACAAAAACGTGAAAATGTCAGTGGAGAAACGTGTCGTGCAAGCTGCGCTCGTTGCATATCGGCTGCCTGAGTCTATTGCTGCAGAGGGTCTGGCGTTCTTTGAGCGCAGAACACCCTTTGGTGATGCGATGGATGTCAGTAAGCCCGGTGATGAAAAGTGTGCATGCTGGGTGGCTACAGTCGAGGGAATTGAAGAGTTTACGCAGCGCCAGCTAATGGCAATGAGCTTCATCTGGAGTTTAGTTCATGCTTGCCGAGAAGGAATGCTTTGCTACTCGTGGCTTATGAGTAAAGTTGATGAGCAGTTTCTAAATGAAGGAGCATGTGCACTAGCAAAAAGAATGGTTGATGCGTGGCCGTTTGAAAGACTTCCGGGTTTCGGAGAAGGTTTTGACCTGGATTGGACCCATCTGTACTGTGCCCGCAGCGAGTGCTGGTACCACGACAGCCTAATTAACGCCTTGATGATGACCCTGGCGGAGAATTTTAAGAACAACACAACGCTTTTCCTGCCGCCATTGTATACACCTGCGCCGAGTAAATGCAAACGAATCCCTCCTCGAACGCTGAGTTTGGTAGCAGCTGCTGACAAGGATTTGGTATTTATGCCTTTGAACATCAACGGAAAGCATTGGGTGTGCCTCGTTCTTGATCGACCAAGAACAACTATCTACTGCTACGATAGTTTCGACAAGCGGTCGAACCAGATCATGCTCGCAGAGTTGGCGGAAGAAATTGGGCGGAAGGCTCTTTCAGTGGAGTACCGTGTCGTCTCGGTACACAGCCCAATCCAAAAGGACAGCGATAACTGTGGTCTATTCATCATTTTGCACTTCTGGCGACGATTCGTTAAGGAAATGGGAAGTGATTACACGACGGTGGGATTGCTGCGCCGGCGGTGGGACGTTCTTCGGACCGTGGTGGACTTTAGCGATGCGAGTAAAGGTGAACAGGACTAAGATTCACCGCTAACACGATGAATACTTACACATTGCGCGTTTCACTATACTATACTAAGTAGTTCTGGATCATGCAAGATAAGAGGGGGAACTGCTCGACACCCCAGCTAATCTCTCACTCGTCAAATTATATATCGTCCTGGAAACATGATTTAACCATGGTTATTAAAGTCAAATACATGGACATCATTTATGACCCGTGGTAGTATTGCTCATGCAGTCTGAGGGTCCGACAGGCGAAAATCGCGCTCAGTCTTCAATTATCGGGTAGTGGTGCGAACATGTCTTGGCCGTGACCCAACATGGGGGTTACATGCTCAAAATAGAATACCTCGCTCCGTAATATATTTTTGGGAATCATGGAGATATTAGGCAACAACCATGATGACTGTCCCCTAGCCCTAATGAAAAACATGGGTAGCTCAATTGGTTAGAGCACCGCGATTTTGCGCGGATGGACGCTTTGAATGCCGTCGTGTCCATTAATTTTCTTTGGTTAAAATTCATGGCTTTGATTAATTTAGCTCATCACTATTTACTACTTACTACTATCCTCTCGTTGGTAATAATTGCAACAGTCTCCTAGTCAAGAACGTGGTTTTTCCTACAAACTCGCTTTAGAAGCGCTGATTGGCGGAATCGTCGCGGTGGGATCTCCTCTTTCCAACGCTGGTTTGCGCGCGAAAACGCTGCTCAGACGCCAGAGTTATCGACGGAAATGTACCGCAGGCAGCTTGCCATTTTACAATTTTCAGCATCTTTAACACCAGACACTCCCCATTTCCAAGCCGCATGACCAACGCAGCCGACTCAGCTGGGGCCACTTCGAGGCCAAACCTAACGAACCGAGAACGCCAGGATGTCGTCCTCTTCATCCTCATGCACAGCGTGCGGGGGGAAACCCGACTGGGGTTGCTTGACCCGTGTATCTGACCATTTTGGCGTCGACAAGAGCACAATCAGCCGTGTTTGGTCCGCTCCGCACTGCTGGAGCAGATAGCCGACGTCCCTTTCAGACGCCGCATGACCCAAGACAGTTTAGCAAAAGAGGTGGGTGTGTCTCGTTCGGTCATTCGCGACGCGCTAAAGGAAGGTAAGCTGCTGCGGCACTTAGAGGTGTGGATAGTACAATGTTGCACTTATTTCGTCTCGGAGGAAGTATTAATAACTTCAAAAGTAAGATTTAGTTTTCATTTGACAGCTGTCAGAACCCTACATTATTCATTGGCGAATGTTCGCATTGCGATTCACAATTTGCGAGCATTCGCGTAGGACTGAAGCTTTAGTTGAAGTACAAGAACGGATTAAAATGCATGTACCGGTACATGTAGCGTTACATACAATAAAACAGGGCAATGTGATGCAAAAGGTCCAGTCAGTGCCCCCGTGAGCTTAAAGAGAGCTTTTAAGCATTTAAAAAATGGTACTGAAAGGTCCAACCGGCACAAGTAATAAGTGGCACTGGAAGAGCTAAAAGTAGTACTGAAAGATAAATAAGGCTTAAATGCCGCTGCGTACATGCTATACTGCTCGACGCCTGCCAATGCCATGATGTCATCAGCTTGTAGGCATCAAAACCCATTTTGTTTCGTTAGAGTTTTTTAAACAGCGCGGTTATTTTTGCGCTTTCCCGGTGTTGAGATGAGTCTTCTGCAAATTGAGCTGCACGTTGTAGTTCTGCTTTTCTCAGCATGTCGCATCGTGGCGTTCTGCCGTAGGACTCCTGTAGTACAGGACCTGTACTATTAATACAGGAGCTCCTACACTGTAGTACAGTGCAGTACAGTCTGTACCGGTAGGAGCTCTGCCTTCCCGTTCAGGTACCGGTACATGGATTATAACATACGTAACTGGAGTGCTTACGGTTTCAGTGTATGTTCCAGGCTCAGATGAACTGCAAAAACAGGCCGAGTCTCGCAGAAGCCTTTGGAAGTTCGAAGGAACCAGGCATCATAGCTTCAGTTTTCAAGACGTATTTTCTTAAAACATATTATATTACTGACGCGCTCATAGACACAGTGTAGTGCTACGCCGTAGACATCCTACCAGCAACAAACACGGCTGGTTATTTCTTCGGAAACACTCATGATTAATGAACGAATTACCATTCAAATCACATTTTTCGCTAGCTTTGAGACGGAGGCCACTTTTTAATCGAATGCAATTTGATAAGCTACATTGATGCTATTCTACATGTATAGCAATACAGTACTTGATCTATTCACTAAAACCAAATGATAAATGTGTGCAGAAACAAGGGCACACTAGGTGTTATACAAAGTCCCCCTCAATAAGCTTAGGCAGTCGTCTAATTAGGTTGCATAGGTAATTTACACCGATCTTGTAATTTGTTACATGCAATATAGATCCATGTGATCTGATATAAAAGGGTATACAAAGTATTAGCTACGCATATTCAGGGGGACTTCAGCACACAGTGCAGGTTTGTGGGTACATATTTTTTTTTACAATCTAGAATTTCATTTCTTTTTTCTTAGATACTGTTTACTGAAAACGCACACATGGATTTTCCCATCTTCCTCCAATCGCGACGATGCGAGAGGGAGCTAATTATGCGAAACGACTGTTTGGTTGCTGTATGCGTTTCCAACAAATGTCTTGCTTCGTATTTTAAAAATATCGCTCAGCTCAGTTGTACTGTTACATACATTAGTTCTGAGCTGTATTGTTGCCAGTTATATTTTCCGTAAAATAAATTTTTTAATAAATTCGAGGTTTTATAATTGCTGCACATTAAATCGAGCTCCTTATTCACTGAGTTTCATGTCATTAAGACAATCCCAGTCTCTCAAAAATCAAAAATGGCTGGTTTAAATTTTACGTCGATGACCCATACATCGACTTCCTCTAGGTAAGAATAATATTTGGCAGTCATATTGTGGTACGATTTGCGGACAAGGCTGGCCCCCACTCAGTTTCAGAGTTCAGGCCGTCTCGAAAGCAGGGAAGCTTACAGTCTCGCAGAACGCACGCGCCACAGCCGAACACGAGGAAGCCCGCAGGTCATCGCCGGGATACCGCAACAACGCAAAGAGTTTAGTTAGCTCACTAACCACCGACAAAGATGCCGCTGGGAGAGAAGCTTGGTCGCCCCTTCGAGCTCCTTTCGCTCATCGGCCGCAAACGCAAGGACGAACAGGACGAACACCACCAGCGTCTCAGCGGCGCGGAGGCGCGCGCCTACGCTAATGCCACGGGATCGGGTACCACAGGCTACACGCATAGCCACAGCAGCCATCACTCCAGCTCTAGCGGCTTCTACCCTGGCGTCAAGTACGAGCGAATCACGCCGGCCACGCAGGCGGCGCCGGTCGTCCAGTATGAGCGTCTCACGCCGGGCTCCGCCGCCGTTTCGACACCAGCTTCTGCGACTTCCGGTGCTCCCGCAGTCACTCACCCGTCACCTCTGGACTACGAGGCTGCAGCGCGTGAAGCGGCCTTCCCCAGTCCGGACCTGGTGCCATCCGCCGCCGTGGCGTCCAGTTCGTTCCGTTCAGCGCCGTCTCCGGCCCTGTCGTCACTTCCCTCGCCTGGTATGCTCACGCCACTTACGCCAGCGGTCGGTGTGACCTCGACGCCTGTAGGACGCAGCCCTGTTGTGGACACGATTCGTCCGTTGCGGCCGCCGCGTCAAGCTCAGAACCTGGCGAGTCCGGCACAACCACCCGTCGGACCCGCTGGAGCGCCGTCTGCACCTTTCTCTTCTGTTATGGTAGAGTGGATGAGTCAGTTAAGAACTCCGACGCCCGACGTGACACTCTTGCCGTACTTTAATAAGGACACACCGACTCCGATGGACACGAACAGTATGGACATGCGACGGCTACAGGACGCGCTGTTGCCGACACCCCCGCCTGATGTACATGATCAGAGACAACACCCAAAGAACGCGGCGTACGTGACGACGCGTGGTCCGCGTCCGCTTCTCGAGGACATTGCGTCTTTGTGTCGTGATTTAAATTCACAGGAAGCTTCGAACGCTAATAAGGGGATGCTACCGCCGTCTAGTGGACAGATAGAAACTAAGTACACGACACTCCCGGCAAGGCCACTGCGTGCTCGTGAGGAAAGTATCAGCAGCGCTTACTCGGACGATGGAGAGAGCCAAGCTAGAATGTTGGCGGCAGCTGCTGCGCTCAGCAGTGTGTCAACAATGAGTGTGACTAGCACCCCGACGGCTGCCAGCTCTAGCTCAGGTACAAAGGGCAAACGCCGAAAGATGTGTACAGCTGAAGGTTGCCAGAACTTATCTCGTTCGCGAGGACTGTGCAAGGCTCACGGAGGAGGCCGACGATGCAGCGTCGACGGATGTTCCCGTGCCAGCCAGAGCGGTAGCTTGTGCATTACTCATGGAGGTGGCAAGCGCTGCACTGTGGACGGCTGCGTAAAGGCCGCACAGTCGCGCGGCATGTGCAAGGCTCACGGTGGAGGCGTACGCTGCCGCGTGGAAGGCTGCGCCAAGAGCTCACAGGGCGACGGGTTCTGCCGCTCACACGGTGGCGGTCGCCGCTGTGGCCACCCAAGTGGCTGCTCCAAGTGGGCCCAACGTAATGGGATGTGCATGGCACACAGCGAAGGAAAGTACGGCAACAGCTACCGTGGGCGGCAGCATCGAATGGAGAAGCAGGAGGACCCGGCGATTGTCCAGCAGACTTGAAGCTAGCACAGCGTGAAAGATACGCCCGCTAGCAGTCAGAATGGATTCTTCCAGTGAATCGACTGAGGTCTAAACGACCAGCAGTACCATACGAGGAGATGCTGTAAGTGGCGAGGTCTCCCCTCGCACTACGAGGGACCGCGTGTGTAGCTCACGAATGAAGTGAACCACCCGCCTGATTGACTCTCCTAGTGTCGATCGTTTACGTGTTGTGTATACATTTACCCATTGTCTCTAATGCGTCTTGTCAAAACTTTATCCGAGTGAACATTTTCTGATAACGCTTGTTCGAGCTTCGAACACCAAAAAGCGCTGATTAAAAGGGTTAATCACTGAAAATTTAATCAAAGATTAAACGATCAACTTCACCGACGAATGCGCCCGACTCAAGTGATCAGGTAAGCAGGTTGCAGTATTGTTGTTGACGTTTATTAAATGTGGTTATACATGTACTACAGTATTGTTTTGTTTACTGCTGGACTGGGTGTTCCTCGTAGTAAGCCACGCGTGCATCCAGGGCAGCACCAGCGAGCCAAGTAGACGGACGGCGTAGGCCGCGCTTCGGACTACGCACGTGGTTATAGCTGTCCACGCGAGCATTCACACTAGAATAGTCGGGCTTCTCCACATCGATGAGATGCACAGGACACGCCGCACGAGTGCCGATCTTATCAAGAGTTTCCAGCGAAATAAACGAATCGCGTTTGAGCTGGCCCTTCGGGGGAGGCATGCCTGCATCGGCCTCCTCGCGATCGCAAAGATCGTTGTCCCACCGCTCGGGGAATGCAACGTGCTTGGTCTTTAATTTCAACGGACTTGTACCTAGCTTCATGTTGCTCCTACAATAGCAACACAGCATATTAGCACTGGGCCGATAGCTTGAGCGGCGGAAACTGAGAGACGTACACTCGATGGTAGGCGTCGGTGTTGATCGTCGGTCGTACGAACTTCTGGTTAACCTTGAGGCGTGACGATATCGTGCCCATACTCTTCTTACGCTGGACGTCGGGTGTGTTCTTAAATGCTGTGCGGCCAGCGACTCCGCCACCGCGCAGCAGATTCTTCACAGTAGCAAACGTGACGGATCCACGCGATCCGCTCATAGGATCTTGATGCCGCACGCAGGATTGCTTTTTGCTAGAACGCCTCCGCTTACTGGTAGCCATACTGATGCGACCTTCAGCTTCGTCTCTACTGTCGTGGACTTCTGACGGAGCGAATAATTCACCATGTGAGCCTCCTCCACGAAACCACAACGGGTTGAAGCTAAGAGGTTGGTCCTGAGCTGGTTCAGCCGCACCGTTCGCGAGTCCGAAGCGGGTCAAGGAATACAACAGCTTGTGCAGTTCTGAATCGATCACATGAGGATCAATCGTTTGTTGTGGTTGCTGTTGATCACGAGTTGATGAAATGGTAGAAATATCTGAGTCGTAGCTGGCTTGTCTTTTGAGGATACTGCGTGGAGAAGAGAAGGAGACTGTGCGTCCGGGGGAATATTGAGGTGAGGCTGGTTGAGATTGCGGTGAAAACTTGAATGGAGAGGTGGCGCCCTTTGCTTGATAATTGTACTCCTGTGCTGTATCACCCAGTGGCAGTTCAGCGTTGAAGGACATCAGTTGTGACGAGCGAGGACTATCCATCTTTTGCTTGGACGGCGACGGCGACCGCTGTTGAAGGAGGAGCGGGTTCTCTTGAGACTCGTCAAACAGGTCCGTGCTCATAACTGCCAGCACATTGACACTGCCGACAGACCCACAGTACGCCATCCTGCCCGTTGTCGAGTAAAATCGATTGTGCTCTCCTTACCGTTCGTCCTTGAAAGCACATTGCAGTTTCGCTCTCTCGTCCTCAAGCCTTAGTTTGGATGAGAAGACGTACTATTTCAGCGCTGCATAAGACTGCAATGTCTGTAGTCCATGTAGTCTACTGGTAACACCGACGCAAGCCCGGGAAAATATTGTGCCCCTTGTGAGTCTATCCATCCTGGAAAGCCTTTAGTTGAATTTGTTTGTGTTCTCATTCAAACCCAAATGAAGCGATTTTACGTGTTAATCAAAAATGTACTTCGAAGTACCAAATTAAGATCTTTAAGAGCTTTCGTTCGCATCAAGGGTACATGAACAGTAGCTGGAGATGTCGTCAAGAGCTCAGTTCGATACACTCACGGAGTTTATTATAAATACTCACGACAAACTACTCAATGCTTCCTCTACTGATCCACTTCCACTGCAATGACATGCAATTTACTAAGGTGGCTTTGACGGCGCCACATTTCCCCCGTGGGCCGCAGCCTTGAGCCTTTCTTCCAATGGAAAGCAGATTTCAGGAGCACTTGTTTACGACCGGCTCTGCTGTTGATACGTCTTTGCCTGTGAGAGCATTTCCTTGAGGAGGTATCGCTGGTGCGCGATCGAGTCCTCTACAGCTTCGACGGTGGGCACTGGCCGACCGTTCTGACCGACAAGTGTAGGTGGCATGCCGCGAGCAGAGCGAAGCATTTGTGTGGTATCCAGCGTCTCCACTACTTCCTCATCCAGAGAGCCGTAGCGCGGGGCGTCGCTGCTGCGGTGGTCCATGCAGTACGAGTTCGAGCTGTCGAAGCTCGTCTCGCTCGCAGTACTCGACATGCTGCAGTTGTTGCGACTGGCCTTGGCATCTTCTAGAAGCTTCATGTCGACACGCATTCTAGGCACCACGAGAGCTCCGCTCCTGCCAAGCATAGACGACGTAGTTGATACCGAAGTCTCAGAGTCCCGACGGCTGCGGCTGCGGTCTGAAGACGACGAGGTAATGAACGATGCTGAGCCGAACTCTGAAGGAGGAACGATCGATTCGGCCTGCGTTGAGACCATAAGGATACACTTGGTACAAAACTTGGTCGTCTCGCCCACTGTACGCGTCACGATGCACGACTTGCAGGCCACTTCGCCGCAGCTTCGGCAGTTGGCCTTCTTGGAGAGCAGATTAAACTTACTCGAGCACACGTGACAGTTCTTTCGAGACGAGGGTGGTACGAACTGCCAGTCGCTGATCATTGGCAATCTGGCCAAGAGTCTCTCCTGCACGACGATCGGCAGCTTGCTAAGACACGTCGCTACACTGCCAAGAAACGAGCTGACGAGCCATCCGGGGAGGTTCTCGGGATGCCGTACGACACCGTCCAGAGTAATGTCCGTGTGGCTAGCGTTCTGCGTTGGCCGTAGCAGCATGATCTCGGTGAAATCCAGACGTGACAGACCGTGAGACTCCTTGAGCGACACGCACTCTTTGCGCTCAATAGACTGCTTGATACAGAAGCCCACAGGGATGCCGTCGATGTCGGTAGCCACGCCCGTGTACTCGATGAAGCACATGTCCCGCTGGTAGATGGGACTGTTGTTGCTTAGGTTGATCGCCTGCCAGCGGATCGAAACGTGTTCCTGCATGTTTTCGGCGCTGCGTTCCTTGAGTACGCACAGCGTCTGGGCGTCCAGACTGTCGTTGTAGAGAATTTCGCGACGCTCTACCACCTGTGCTGTCGAGTCTGCGTACATGATTCCCATGAGGTCGTTGAGCGACGCCCGTACCGTTCCTTGTAGACGGTAGTGCAGGTCTCTGCTGTTATCACCCGTCTTGGTGAAGCGCTTGAAGCCGGCGTGCGAGCCGAGCTGCTTCCATGAGCGGTAGTCGACGTTGCCCACTTCACGGTCCTCGCGCGCCTTGTTTAAGGCCTCGTCTAGCTGCGACTTGGCTGTTGCAACGTATTTGTTCAGATCATCCCGGGTCATGCGGACACGTCCGAAATGGCCCCGTCGAAGCGGAAGCGATTGCTTCGGCGCTTCATTGTGCCGGGCAATGGCTTGCGCCTCCACGCGACTGAAGTTGGTGACATTCATACTCATACCGTATCGACAATCAACAGTTCGGCTTGTCGAGGTGAAAACGCAAACTGAAGGCCCTACTCGGAACTTTGTACACGCTGGCGCACGGCACCAAATGGAGCGAGAGAGAGGATAAACCACGTGAGATTTGCACCAGGTTCTCTTCTGTCGGGTTATCGAACAGAACGGGGCCTGCGGTCGAGCATTTGGCCGCATTACAGCCGGTACAGAGGTCAGGACGCTCACAAATCCACGGTGAGCGGAAGCCCTGCATCCCAGCATCCAGCTGGTGTCTCTCTCGACTGGAGACTTGAAGCGCAGGCTCATCTCTGCCAGCAAAAAAGAGATCGATCTTGGAGCTCGCGCCGTCGCCGTTGTTGGTGAGGCATGTCCGACGGAAAAGGTTGGGCACTCGTTGCAAGTCTCAATTCGGTGCGCGCGATGATCAGCGAGACAATGCGTGCTGAACCCGATCGTTGCACTTTATAGGGAGGCTCACATACAAAAAAGAGATTTGTCAGGCTGGACACAATTTACGGCCACCATCGGCCCAATACAAAAACCTATATAACATAAAACATGTGTCATTTTGGCTGACTAGAATTTTGTATGGGCTGAGTTTCTGAGGGCGATTAGATGGACACTAGGGATCGAGAGCTCAAATTATTTTAGCTAGTGTCAATAGGCCCATCCGCATTTTTTTTACTGTAGCAGATCATATGGAGATCACCGTGTAGTCGTCGCGATCTTACATTTAAAAATTCTCTATCAATATCGATCAAGCAGAGATGCGAGTGCAACACGTTACATATAATACTAATGTGTACACCCCCATGCAACTACTTTGAGCTCTCGATCCCTATAATAGTGTCCATTTAAGCGCCCTCAGAAACTCAGCCCCTACAAATTTCTAGTCAGCCAAAATGACACATGTTTTATTTTATATAGGTTTTTGTATTGGGCCGATGGTGGCCGTAAATTGTGTCCAGCCTGACAAATCTCTTTTTTGTATGTGAGCCTCCCTATAAGTGCAAAACCGCGAGCGTTAGCACATCCTTGCTATTTTGAAGCATGTTTTGCAGCTTGTGTGAAAACCGCACCGTCAAATAATAAGAATTGACTGAGTTATGGGCACTCGACGAGGTGGCCGTATAATTGTGTCCAGGAGTGTACACTGGAGACCCTTACGACTCTGCGGCGAAACGTGTACATTTCGTTTCAGGTGTCACGTTGGACGCGGGGCGGAAGACACGCCGAATGAATACCAGTGCAACTTTGCTACCTAATCTGTATATGTATTGGTGATACATGTACACCTTCACCGCGAGTTTCCCGTCGGTTTAAAGGACCCTGTAGGTTGTTTTCGTTTGGTGGTGGTGGTGTCTTTGTGAAGTTTCGTTAGGTGCGGAGTTGAGAGCGACGTAAAACGGTGACGAAATGCTACGCTCGAACTCCGAGTCGGAGTGCGCCAGCCCAGTCATCCAGTGAACAACGCACGTGCTGCATCGCCGTTCGGTTGTTTTTTGCGGTGATTACAGGTGTTTCCTCTCGCGAAGCTACATGTACAGTACCGTTCTATTGCTTCGTAACGAGGGGGCATTTTTCACCGCTCAGTCAACACTGTCGATCGGGCCTCCTGATTGAAGGCACAGACAGCTCTTTTGCTTGCTTCGTAGAGCCCCAAGAAATGCGTGACGGGGCTGACCGGGAGCTTGAAGTTCGACGCTCGTCAGACTAGGTACATGCAGTACTAAAGTACGGTAACAAACGACCTACGTGCGGTCGGTATCCGATAGTCGGCAGATGTACACGCTGGGGGGACAAAGGCAACCACTTCGATTGCGGTCATGAAATTTTGCCAGGATCACATGAAGGAGCGCAAGTTTCCACTGGTGAATCGAGGCGGAACACCGTGTCCGTATCGTATTCCGAATGCGATCTTTGATTGCACCTGTTTGCCCATGTACCAAGCACCGGTAGCAAAGCATACCAAAGTTTACCAGTTTGCAGCTCTCGTCATCTGGTCAACTTGCCATCACGCTGTGTCCACGTGGTTGGATGGCAAAATGCCGACGACGAGCCAAGCAAGAGCTCATGACGCCGGCTTGATATTGCAAACAGGATTCCGAACGCAAAGACAACAGCAGCAAGAAAACAACAATAAAAAGCCCAGCTCATCCGTCAGCTGTCAAGCGTACACTTGTCCGTTGCGCTCGACACAAAAAATCGAGCACAAGTACGTGTCAAACATCTGAGGCCGTTCACACTCCATGTCACCCCTTTCATGAGGCAGTTGCAGCTGTCTTTCTGCCTGACACCCTGAAATTCAGGGTGTCAGCTCTTCAAGTTGGCTTGCCCTACGCTCTACGCTCAACAGTGTTCTATCGTTTTTCGTGTGTGAATGCAAGTGTATTGAGGTTAAGCTTACTTCTTGGTTCTACACACTACTCAGCATCGAAGGTGCGACTTCGAGAAGCACGATCAAGTTCCATGGCCTGTAACAATAGAAACACACACAACAGGTACCCCACAATCAGAATCGATGAAAATAATGGCTGCACCACATTCCGAAGCTCCATCTGCATCTTCGGTTGTGGCTCGGACTAATCGTTTTCTCCTCCTTACCTCTCGAACGACGTTGTCGACACGACTCAGATGACTCTGACGTGGTGGACGCTTTCTCTTCCCCTCGGAATTGTTGAGCACCATTCTGTTGCGCATGGCAGTCGTCAGGAACGGCAAAGTCAAGATTTTCCTGAAACGGGAAGCCAGAATTTCAGGCTGGTGAGCACGCAACATGCAATACAAGACACACCAAAAGTGCTATCCCCACACATTCGTACCTGTCGTTGGCTGGCATCTTGAACCCAGCACGGAACACGAAATCGTCGTCGGGACGATCGTAGTCCTGTGCATCGAACAAAACATGGTAGTCTAGATTAGTATCTCGTCATCGGGTTCCAGTACTCCAGTCACATGGTTCTCTTACAAATTCTGCCGCTAAGGAAGAATTTAGTGGTTCATGGTTTCCCATTTCAGTTGGGATGGAGCCCGCTTCTCGGATGACCGAAGACACAGGAACTGGACGACTGCACGCCACACACATGACAGGTTTCGTTCCCATAGCTGTCGAGTCTCCATCCGTTGGCTGCAAGAGCATCAGCTCGCCTCGTATATCTCGTAATGCCACCTCGAACCGAACCTTCAGCTGCTCCATAAGCTCTCTCCGAAGTCTTGCCAGCTCTTCTGTTGTAAACTCGCGAGCATCTTCAAGACGGTCATCGACCTTCTGCGCGAAATTATCAAGTAACAACCGGTAGTTGACATTGGCACTGGCCGCCCCACCGACACCAGGACCACGTGGGGCGCCCTTCTCCAAATTGATCGCACTGGAAACCTTCTTGGTGACTTCTTTGATAAAGTTGTCGTAGAACTGCTTCTGCCCATCGGGTGTATTATACAACCTGGTGTCGAGTTCCTGACCCGTCATTTGAGAGAAGAGATCGGTCAGCACGTCACCCTGTCTAGCTGCAGCCTCCACCATACTCCGACGATCCACCGACACTAGACTGGTGTTGCTGTTACAGTTGTTCCCTGTGTTTTCAGCTTGCTGCTCGGAGATCTTACTAAGCTCCACGTACATTTCCTTGCGAAGCTTCTCCATTTCATCCATGACGAGTTCTGTCCGTAAGTTGTTGTTTGAGGACCCACGTCTCGTTCCAGTGACTGTTTCGGGTGCTTTACGCTTGTCGGCTGCGCTGAGTTCCGCTGTTATAGAGTTCAAGCGCTCGATGTCTTCCTCAACCATAGCAAGACGTCGTACTGCACCACTTAAACGCAACTCCATCTCTCGTAGGCCATCAGGATTACGTTGCTGTATGCTCGGACGACGCTCCTCTTGTCCAGCGTGTACACCATCACCAGCAGTACTAGAATTTTTACTTCCGTGGGAGATTACTGGCTCACTTGGCTGCATACTGTTAACGTTGTAGTTGCGATGCCACATTGACCACAGCAATTCAAGCTAACAAGCAGAAAGCAGAGTTTAGTTATGAAAAATACAATAATAAACAAGCACACTGCCCAGCACAAACCTTTTCGCGCATCGCATCCAGTCCCTTGATCAACGGATCGTTCTTCTTCTCGGTTGTGATATTCACCTGCAGAGTAGCGTCGATCTCTTCGTCCAAGTAGCGCAATTTGCGCGTGTATTCCTCTTCCCGATCGCCCTTATGTTGATCACCATCTCCCGCGTTGTTGTCTGCAATCCGTAGCGGTACCACGCCTAAGCGAACAGCGTTCTGAAGCTGCTTGACCTCGTCTGAGAGTGTCTGCAGCGTCTCTGAAATGCTCAATGGCGAGTTTACCAACGGCGTTATCGATAGCAACGTCCGGTGGTAACCGCGCTGCATTTGTTGCAAGGCGTGCAGCATTTCGTCGTCGCTGTTCCCTTGTAGGAGTTTATCCTCCGTCAATTCAAGAGCCTTACGCCACTCTACCAACTGCGGCTTTGTATGGTCCTGGAATGCCTGGTTACGCGCCAGAAGCTCCTTCTGCATCGCCAATCGAGCCTCCACCAAGTGAGCTTGTAGGTGCTCGTTAAACACCGCGTTGTTTCGTAACGCATCCAGTTGTTCCTGCTGAGATTGTGTAGTGCCCGAAACACCTTTGATCGTTTGTTGTAGGTTCTGCAATGAGGCATCCGTGGAGCGTCTCAAATCAGCAAGCTTCGTGAATATTAACGACAGATCCAGTTGTGGTTGCGACGTGGCTTCACTCGCTGTACCAGCCTGCTTGTCAGTCTTACCCGACTTCCCGGTATCGTCAGTCGATACTCCTGTATTCCCACCGCCCGATCCTCCATTTGACGTGTTACTCGGGTACAAGGAAGCCATCGTTTGCTGCTGCACACTTAGATCGTCCACACTATCCGTCAATGCCTTAATATCGGCAGTGTGCTTGTCCACTGCTTCATCGTGTTCCCGAAGTTTCTGATCGTGATCGTCCTGCACTGCTTTCAGTGCCTTCAGTTCGTTCATAATGTCGTTCGTGATCAATACAAACTCGTCGTTTTTCACGTTCTCTATATCGCGCGATGGAGAATTGCCATCACTGCCGTCTTTACCATTCGACTCATCGGTAGACTGCGGGTTAGCCGCAAGATCATACATTTGAGAGGAGAGTTCGTCTAGTTTTCCCATGCGACTATTTAGGATATCTAGAATCCGGTCGTGCTCAGACACTCTAGCGGCCAAAGTATCTTGCAATCCCTGAAGCTTTTCCACGTCTTGGTGCAACATAGGGGTGAGTGAAGCTCCTGGCTGGACTTCACTTGCTCGAGCACTTCTTGGCGTTTTCACACTCGACTCAGTATCACTTCCAACGTCCATACCAATTGTAGTTCCTTCTTCGCCTTTTTCCTCGCCAGTCTTGTCGACAGTGTTGCGGTCAAACGTTCGTGCTAATGCCTTTTCCAGTTCGTGTCTTAGCTCTTGCTTGGCATCTGCTAGATCTTTCGCGGTCACGAATGACGGTCTGTCAGTATTGCTTAGACGTGAAGAGCGTGGGGATTTCTTAACGGTTGAAGAAGATGAATTGTCCACACCACCCTCACTGTCGAATGGTGCGTTCCCCTGATCTATAACAGCTTCTTCCTGTTGCTCTTGTCGGTCATCTACAAGTGGGGTTGGCCCTTGAATGCCTTCGAGTTGGTTCTGCATCTCACCCACTTGAGTCTGCATCGCTTGCATTGCAGCAGCAGCTTCGCACTTTTCGTCTTCAGAACGTGCCAGACGATCACGAAGATCAGCAAGTTGTTGCTCTTGTTGAGCAACGTGGTCTTCCATCTTCTTCAGTGCAGCTTCATTACTCTGTTGGGTCGTCTCCTGCGCTTTCTGTTGCTTCGCCATCGATGCACCGAGAGCTCTCAAAATTTTCAGTAAAGGTTCCCACGACAGACTGTACGAGATCAACTCCTGCTGCATCATGGAAGCGAACATATCTGCATCAAATCCTTCGTTTTCAGTCTCTGTACTCGATGTCAAGTTATCAACTTGTCCACTTCCAGTCTCGTTCTGCTGGCCACCGCCGTCAGCAGCCACAGGGTCCTCCATTTCAACTCCACCACCTGCTTATCTCGATCCTGTGAAGCAACACGATCCCGAGCGAACGACACCAAAGCGTCAAGTACTGAAGAACTTCTCGTCGCTTTGCAAGGCGTTTCGAAGCAACCATCGCGCTATTTTATGCTTCCCACGAATACAACGTGTCTTCTTACGGTTTCTCTGTTACGCAAAAAAAGAATAAAAACGAAAGCGAAAACAACCACCTAACATCTAGCGCAGTCAAAATCTTTGGTATCAAGCGGGGGCGCCCGGACCAACGACCAGGAACGACGACGACACCCCTGAGTAAGGAGTGACAGTTCGCCATAAGAAGTGCTTGTAGTCGCCGTTGATTTTGATACGGTATTTTCCTTCCGGGGTGGTCTCCGAAATTCGCCATTCGATGTTAACTTCGGATCGGAACGTGCCCTGACGCTTCCATTCAAGAGTTGTGTTGACGTCACCGTCGTCCAAGTAGAGGACCCAGACTCCTCCCTCCCTGCGACTGGTATCAGCCATCCAACGCTGCACTTCCAGAAATGTGCCTTGGGTTCGCAAGCTATTCTTCGGGTGTGCAGCGTGGAAGCGGACTTTGACCGTAGATTCCCTTCCATACACTTTCAAGGCGTCAGCACCAGCAACCACGCTGCCAAACGACGCGCCGGAAGCCACGCCGTCATGAATTACAGGAATATTGTAGTCTAGTACCCCCATTCCTTTGATGCTCGGGGGTAATACTGCAGCATCGGCAAGCGTTTTGTACGCAGGCTTGGTCTTGTGGTACATGGCTTCAGCTAGGATTTCGAACTGTTGACAGGTGGCTACAAGCTGATTTGGTCCAAAATGTGTCGAAGCACCTTCATAGCGCTGCACAGCGTACTCTTCTCTTGTCGTCATGTAGCCACAATAAGCGTTCGTAAGTCCAGCAATCACAGGCTCGTGGATACTCTGGACTCCTGGTAGCAGTGCTGTTATCGAGGCTTGCAACGACGCTCGAAGACGTCTCCCCGCCATCGTGGTCACCTCAAATGGGACTGCTGCAAGATGTAAGCAATCTGCAAAGGAAAATAGCTGCAACGGCAGGACTTTTGGGGACATTCCGTAGCGTGCAGTTGGGAAAATAATCGGCTTTTCCTTCTGTAGTGACTGAAGTTCCGGTAACGTCGTCACCTTGGGATATGTCCCCCATCGAATACCCTCAGGCACTGCAGGGACACCTCGACCATCAAACTCCGTTCCACTGACCATGGATACCCCAATGCATCCGGAAGACGTTGAGTTCGGACATTCAGCATACAGTTGCCATCGCTTTTGTAGTTGAATACTGCAATAGTCGACGTATTGATGTGCAAACTTGAGGTTTCCTGCGATCGGCGGTGTGGCTAACGCATCGGCGTATAATTCTCTCGCAGTGTCAAGCTGTGCATTGGCCACAGTCACCATCCGTTCAAAGTCCTTGTGTTGCGTACACGGATGTCTGGGTCCGCAGATATTTGGACTCACGTCTCCTTCGTTACTCTGCGCAAAGGCTGCGACGAAGGCTCTCGGTCGGTCCATCAGGTGTCGGGTGCCTTGTTCCCGCTCGAATTCATAGGCCGCATAGCCTTTATTATCCCCCGTAATGAGCGTGTACCAGTTGCCCATACTCGTGGGGTGTACAGCGAACCAGTTGATCATCCCGATGGGATAGCCATCCAGACCATCAAACCGCCAGAGTGTCATGGTCTTGTCCGTGTCGTGCTCAAAGAGAGCTCGTTCCTGCACTGGATTGGCCAGATAGGCATCAGCGGAGCGGTTTACAGACGCTCCAAGACACAAGCCCGTTGCGACGCGGATCACTGCCGGCTGGAGGTTCCTGTGGGCTCGTACTACGGCTTCGACTATCCCGGAGACTACACACTCGAAGTTCTGACGGTCGGCGCCGTGTAGAGGCGGGTGGACACTGTAAATAAAGTAGTGTGACAGCCCACCGGGCGAACAGTGTGTGTGTGTCGCACTGATCATGACGTTCTCGCGGGTGTACATGCCTCTAGGGAGGGCAGGATGCGTCTCAAGACGACTTACGACTGTCTGAGTGACCCACTCGGACACCATACCTAGCTCAGCGCATACAAAGACGCAGTGATTTTGAGAGTGCGGGTCGTGGAAGGCGAACGCGCGCGCTCGGAGTCGCATGTGGATGCCCGACGTGAGCTGACCCACTTTGGCGTAGCCGAACATACCCGCCTCAGCTGCAGGGCCGGTGATGTCGAACATGGCGGCGCCGATGCGGAGACAACCGCCACCCTCCGAGATGGAGACACTCGAGTGCGGGCTTGGAGCCATTGCGGCGTTTGAACTTGTGTCGCAAGAATTCCTTCTGAGCCAGGAGTGATCAGGCCTTCCGATAATACAACTGCAATGAGATTCTTGCCTTTTCGTGAAATCAGTACTTGCAGGGAAACATTTGATATTAAAAAATACGTAATTGTTATGGTTAGAGCAATATCACACCACTACTGTCAAGATACATCTCATCTGGATGCATTAACGACATCGGCGACGGTTTTCACATTCCAAAGGTGGCGATTTACCTTCAGAAACAGTATTATCTCGAGGTTGATGGGGAGCAGTCCTTGGCGATGGTTTCCCATGACATGTTTGGTTTGACTAAAAACCCGCTCGCACATGTTGGAAGTCGGCGGGATTACCGCAAATTCTGGGTACTCACAAGGCGTCTCACGTTGTAGTTTGCGTTTCTTGAGCGCTCGGTCCGCAAACCCAAGCTTCTTGCCCTCCGACAATTGTGGCGTCGCAACGCGAGAAGCGAACGGTAAGAGCAGTGAGCGCTGAGACTCCGTGAGATTATCAGCCTTTCCGGTGAGCACGGTAACACAGGCATCCTCGAACTCAGGTTGCTGGACGATACCTGCGTCCTAACCCAGGTACCCCTCGACACCAGGATGTTCGGCGATCAGCGCGTCGAAAGTGTCTCGTACGTCAAGAAGTGACAACCCGTCGGCACTTTGGAGCTTCTTCGAGGAGGATTCAAATGCTTTCAGCTCCTCAAGAAGCCCCCTCAGCTGGTTTATTTTGCGCCGCGACGGCATCAGCGCCGTCGTGGCGTCATCCATGGCATTAATTGCATCTTTAAATCAAAATAGCGTCGGACCATGTTAAACGTTGACGGCCACCGTGTTGTTTGACTGGCAGGAAGCCTCAACTTGGTTATTTTTCTAAATTTTACCAAAACAAAATCCAATTAGATAAATCACCGAAAATACAAAAAATACATTTTGCACTCACCGCAAACTAGCCGAAGCGTTTAGACCGCGTAATTTACGCATCAAGAGCTGGACTTTGTCCAGCAGATCCTCATAGCTCTTCATGTACTTCATGACAGCCAAGTTAAGGCGGTGGCTCGCACATCCCACGAAAGGAACCTTCATGATTGCAGCGATGGACCCATTCGTGGGACAGTTGTCCGCGACGATGTACAGCACGTCAGCCAGCGCTCGGCCAAAGTAGCCCAACACTGCTTGGAGAAAAGAAATGTGAGCAGGAGCAGAATGGTCCACGATGTCATCATCCACAAGAGGAGCCATGGCGAGCAGGATCTTCTCCATCTTACTGTCATGGCCGAAGACCCCAAAAACTGCCACATAATGCTCCGATCGAAACAAACATCCATCCCAAACAATGCCAAATTGTTTAGGGAGAATGCCTGAAATGTAGCTCTCCAGCGCTTTCACTACCAAGCCCATGTACTTCACAGCTGTCTCTGGTGAGATCGTGGGTACAGCAGCATATTTAGCCACCGTCCCGTTGTCGAGAATAGCTGAATGGGAGATTGCATTTCACAATCCAGTCAATCCAGCTGTAGATGACTTGACTCTTCTTGTCCACGAACCCAATCAAGGTGCCACTGGCACGCCCACTGCTGGCGTGTCGACTGCATAGCTGGAGTGTTGTGCGCGAATGTGGCTTATCAGGTTAGTGTAGCCAGTTTTACTGTCTTGTTTGCGAATCTTGGAGCAGGGACAGCGAAAATATCCCGTCGGCTCATCCTGGTTGTCAAGAACGGGCTTGAAGAAGAAGTCACCGACTTGCTTGTTAGTGAAGGGAGCTGTCAAAGACATGGTGAATCGAAAAATGAGGAAGACTGAGCTCGATGCACGCCCAAGGACTTGCCAACCAACCAAACAGTGGTTGGCTCTCAGTTTTGCTTAGCTGGGATTGGGCAGTTTTGTGAAGCATGGGCTACAAATAATTTATGACGATACCGGAAATACGTTACTGATAATTTTCATTATAACTGAAAAGTAAATTATTCCATACTAATATTTCCATTTATTTTCACTGCAATGTATTGTTCGGAAGGCCTAGGAGTGATGGTCAGGCAACTTCAAGAATCCGCATTCATTTGGATCTCGAACACGAACGAGGATTAAATCCCTGGGTGGTAACACTTTTCGTGCGAATGATGAAGAGAAGATGACGCTGAAGCTCTGCGTTGCACTTGTGGACACTGGCGGAGGCCAGGAAGAAGCTGTCCTGTTGGCCCTGAACTCGGCGGCGATTCATCGGAACGGCCAGATGGCTTCATTTGATCAAAATATTTATTTTGGGTGTGAGCTTAATTTGGGTACAGTATGCTGACTCGGGTAGATTGGGGTAGTTTCGCTAGTCGCGCAAGTCTATCCAATTTGGATGCTGAAGTTGAAAGTCTCAACACTTCCGCCTCGATCGAGCGGGCACACGAGCCAACAACGCCATCCACCAAGTGCTGCTGCTGCAGTACCTGTTACTTATTGTACAGGACACGTTCACGTGGAGCCGCTGCCGGTAACTCATTTCTCCGAAACCAGCGGCGGACGTTTCCTCCAACACATTCTCACCGAGCAGCTCGATCGATAGCACGTGCCTCCGCCACAACGGCGCAACAACGCTAGCTTATGCTGGTGGATTGTCTGCTTGCAGGACGGAATGCACTTGTATGGGCATCATCTGCTTGAGGCATTCGATGGAAACGACATGGAGGTTACGGCTCTAGGCATTGACTCCACTGGCTAAGAAACCATTCGATACGATTGGTAGCGCGCAGACATCGCTTGACCGATGCGATACTGTTGCCTGGAACCTAGCTTCGATTGACGCAAGCTGAGATCGAGATCGCCGTGGCCTTGAACGAAGCACGACTCCGCTGTGTGCACGAAGCCACTCATCAGCTGTCCGCTCGTCGAGTCCGTAGCGTTTATCGCCGGTCGTCTTGCTGTGCCCTTTGCCCTTCTTTCTGGTCCATCTGGTCTCTGCTTTCCTTTCCACCTGGAGACTTGCCCAACTTGGCTCCATTATGTCAATACATCTGTCGTCGCACCTGCTTAACCTAATAATATAATCGCTACCATTTCCATTGTGTCCGTCATTAACAGGTCTCTTTAATCCACTCATCTCTGTTATTTAATACTACATATTTAATCTGACAGGTCCTACTGGCTTGTAGAAAGCCAGTCACCGTCACGCATATGCGCAAGTTCTCGTCCCGCGGCGAACAACACCAGCACCCGGAGCATTCCCCGGTGTTCAAGCCTTCGCCACTGCCCTCGGACGCCCCTGTCATCGGCTTCAAGCTCAATCCCATCAAGCCTCAGCCGTCCATGGCGGGTCTGCCACCAGCTCCACCGCCTGTACTGGGCAGTTCCGAGAGCTTCCAGCACATGATCCGCAGTCGCCGCTCCTCGCAGGACGAAATTCGAGCGCTATTGGCGCGCACCACGCAGGCACTGGACAAAATCGTGAGCATCCGTGAGTCGATGGAGGACTTTGTGGACTTTAAACAGTTCGAAAAGAGGCCTCAGCGCCCTTCGCGCCCGTCACGTGCTAGCTCCAGTATCGCCGAGCTGGGGGAACACCCTACGCGATCCACAACCACGTCCAGTTATGGCAGTACCGAGGCTTCGTCCCTCACCGAAGACCCGTTGGGTAGATCGACGACATCCACCACGCATTCGTCATCCTCCATCGAGGACGAAGGGGAACACGATGTCGACAGGGACCGAGAGGATGAGCTACGCGCGAGAAGTACCGACCCAGACGAACAACACGAACAGGACCTGGAAGACGCGGAAGACGGAGATACGTTCGATGAAGACCCGACCAGTAGCTCCATTGTCAGCTCCATCTCGACTGTGGACGATCTCGCGCCGTTGAAAGAAGCGCGGCAGGACAGACTTAAGAGCATCAACATCTCGTTCCATGAAGGATTACCAAGGGAATTTTTCCAGTCGCTATGTCGCTTCCTCAACACAGCACTGGAAGTCAAGACTCGACACTCGAGATTCAACTTTTACAAGGAAACCTTTACGGGCGGTGACGCCGTTCGAGAGATGCTGATCAGTGGCTTTGCGGAGGACCATCAGACAGCGACGAGGTATGGAAATGTCCTTGTGAGACTTGGATTCATCGAGCACGTGTCTCGTACGGACGATCAGCTGCACAACTCCAAGGACAACTTCTACAGGTTCACAAAGGTGCTGGAATACGATGATCCAGCGGAATCGTTCGCCTCGGACACAGCCACGCGGAGACGCGCGTCCATTAACGCCAACAATTACCGTGAATCAGTGCTCTCGAACGAATCCACGGACCTGGTGGACTACGACTTCGCTACTGCTACAGACGAAGTACACGCACTCGTATCGGAGGAGGCTCTGAATGTGCTCGCTAAGGTGCTACACAAGGTGTTCGAGCGGAAGAACAAGCTGCTGTTCTACAAGGGCTTCATTGGCTGCTTCTTGGGCGCTGAAGCCGTGAACGTCATCCGTGAGATGCGCATCGCCACTACACTCATTGACGCCGTGCTGATCGGACAGGCGCTTCTGGACGAAGGTCTGATCGAGCCGATTGCCACGACAGTCTCTACTTTCCAGGACAAGTACGTCTTCTACCGCCTCACCAAGATACCGTCGTCGTAAAACCCAAGTCTGAAACTTACTCTCCAGTAGCGAAGCGAGTGAAACGAGCCTCATTTTACGCACTTCGCTACTTAACCGGTCCATTCGCTGCGGTGTCCAGCCTTCTTCGCTCCCATAGCTGTTCCAAGTTTGGAAGCTAGCAGAAAAACATAGCAAGAGGAAGGCCATTTTTGTTGTCAGCAGCGCATATTTAATTCGAACCACGCAAGTTAATGCGACAGAGTTTGGATGTCGACATACGTTCGATATTACAGTGTCACTTCAATGCATACTAAAGTAAGAGCACTAGCCTGAGCTTACGCCTTCAATGACTTTGCTTCAGTGGGGCTTACGTCGTCGTGGAGGATCTTAGCGAGGTCCTCGTGGTTGACGTGGGCGGCCTCTTCGAGATCCTGGTCGTGCTTGACATCGAATTCCTTGCCGCGAGCCTCAGGTCCGATAAGTGTCAGCAGGAACACGTAGACGTAGACCACACCCAGAAAGATGCAGATCACCTTGCCGTACTGGTAGCGACTTTCTCCGTTCTCGCCCTCTGGCAGCGGGAAGTGCTCGCCGAGTGAAGCCTCGATAGTCGACGATGCTGAGGAAACCAGGTTTCCGAGTTGGTACGCCGTACCCACGACAAACGCACTGTACGACGGGGGAGACAGCTCCATTAAGTGGATTGGGATGACACCCCAAGCACCTTGGACGCAGAACTGCTCGAAAAAAGCGGCGATCATGATGCTCTCGTCGCTAACGTAGCAGTATGGATACAGAATAGCAGCTCCAATGACCGTCATGACAAGGATCGAGAGACGACGACCGAACACTTGCGAGTAGTAGCCCACAAGAGTACCGCCACAAATGGCACCGAGATTGGCCACGACTTGAGTCACGGTGACTTGGTTCGAGTTGAACTCGAACTGGTTCTCAAGCATCGTCGGGTACAGATCCTGCGAGCCGTGTGACTGCAAGAGTATGAGCAGTTAGATACTTTTCAATAAATTGAAAGATAGTTTCGAAGAACGTACCATGAAGTTGAAGCCTGCCATGAGCAGCACCAGGTAGCAGAGTAGCAGCCAGTGGCGTTTGAGCGCGATTTTACCTTCAGCCACGAACGTCTTGGTCATGTTACGACTTGCTTCACGTACACGTTGGCGCTCCTGGAACACTTTGGTCTCGGGCAGATATAGACGGAAGATGATGATGAAGATCGGTGGACAAGCTCCGAACCAGAAGAGCGGACGCCAGCCGTGGCTGGTAGTGTTGACGAGAACACGGGCGAACACGACGGCCAATAGATAACCGAAGGCGTAACCTTGCTGCATCATACCAGAGATGATACCTCGCGCTGCAGGTGGGCAGTCCTCAAGCGCCGTAGCGGCGACGTTGCCGTACAGACCGCCCATGGCAATACCGAAGAGCGCACGGATCCAAAGGAACTGTGTGTATGTCTGACAGAAACCCGTCGCCAGCTCCAGCACGATGAAGAGCACATTGTTGACTACAAAGGGCCATTTACGTCCCCAGCGATCAGATGCAATACCAAAGATGATAGAGCCGACTGAGCGCAACATGAGCACCAGAGTGATGCCCCATGTGATGTCGGTCTTCGTCTTGTCGAAGGTTTCGGCCAGGTCCGAGACGGTCATGGAGACCGTGAAGAAGTCGAAGGCGTCCCAGGACCAGGCGATGAAAGACACGAGAAACTGCAGCCACTGCATGCGGTTGAGCAGCGCCAGCACCTTGAGCGGGTTCTCGGCCTTTGTCATGGGCGGCTTGAGTGTCGTAAGCCGCGTCTTGCAGTACTCGCCGAGCGAGAGCGCTTCGTCATTGTTTACTGGTTCAGCCGCGTGGTCTGATCCCTTGGGGGTCAGTGCCACCTGGTAGTCTGTCACCGAAGGCATCGTAGATTACCGCAGGGGTCGGGTCGAAGCTGAAGGTGCTTGTGCTCCAAAGCACAAAAAGGAAAATGACTGACTAAGGAGCGATGAAGCTTTTGCTGCCGAACTAAAAGCATGCGTGATGGTATCCGGGGCAGCGCAAGTTACACTTTGTCGGCGGTCCGGCTCATGTGTCATTGGACAGCTGACACATGAGATGGTCCTGGACAATGCCCTGGTAGTACCAGTGGTACATGTACATGTATTATACGTTGAAGCTGAGGCTCGGGACTCGGTTTAACGGTGGGTGAGACGGTGCGATGGCCACACCCTTCAACGTCGCGCATAGGCGGCACATCTTCAGAATTGACTCGGCTTCACTGAAGTTTGACTAGCAAGATGAGGCGGTGTTGGAGGTTCAACCACAGCAGTAGATATTTGCGAGGAAATGTAGGCAGACAGCATCAAGACTTCACGCCCACGATGGCTGTGGATTACCGTCGGATTTAGCAGCATATCGTGCAGCATCAAGTCGCGTCGGCGTTTTTAGTTTTAATCTGCACAGCAAGGCATGGAACTTGCGTCTCAAGTAGCACAGAAGGCCCTAAATAAATAGATACCACAATGCATTACAGTACTGTACGAGCTACGGTGCTCTGCACTTCATCGGTTGTTTTGCTAGCAAAACAAAAACAAACAAACGGTACCCCTTGAAGCCCCGGTCTCGACAAGCCCACCGTCATGGCTGTCGCGATGTACATGTACAACAGTATTCCCGTATGCGAATATCGTCACCGTCACCGTCATGGCCCATGACCCACGGAGCTTTCCTGTGCTCCGACTCGAAGCTCGAAGCCTTCCTGACCTGGCTCAATCTCAAATTGATGTGATGTGTCTTCTCTTTTTTTGTAAGCTCATCTCCAATACTTAAGTACATCTGAAGCAGGGATTCCCTCGCTCAAGACGATCTGCGGCTCAAGTTGAGCTTGCAATTGCTTAGTCGTGCAACATGCAAGCTACATGCACCGGTTTGCGTTGCAACTGGCAAGTTGGAACTAGCAGAGCACCCCAATAAAAACTTTGTTGCTTGGCTACTTTCATGAAATACTTCTAATGAACCGGTATCGGTTGTCATTGAACAATCGAACGTCGGTCACCAGGGCTCTCATGATGACCTGGCTGATACCGTACCTCCAGGAGACTCGACCCCGTTATTGTTCATCCAATCATTGATAATTGAAGGAGTACTTTTGCGAACGGCAGATCATATGTATCACCTCTTAACCTCCTCTGATAATACAGTCGGCGCGAACTTCCTCCCGCCAAAACTCGGCTTTCATGCCGAAAGGAGGATAAGCCTCGCGTTAATCAATAACAATTCAACATCCGCCCAAATGGGCGACGTGTTGTCATGAGCAACGTTCTTCAATGATCACGTTGTTGTTGTGGAGTGGCGTGGCAGGGTAGCTTTTGACTGACGCACTCGACGAGCTGCACGGCGAGCTGTTGCATTCACCGTCACTGTGCGTCACACGGTCGCAGTGTACTTCATGATCGGACAAATGCGACATCGAGTGTCCTCGCGGCTTGGAGCTTGTCCAGTCGCTCTCCTGTCTCGGTAAGCGGTACTCCGACTTGGCAGGTAGGCGCTCGGACAGCAGCAATGACTCACTCGTCAGTGCCAAGTTGTCTGCAAGTCGGACTGCCACATCCGCATGCTTTTCTTCGTCGGTCCGTGTCTTGGATTTAGCGGCAGGAGTTAATGCACTCGGGGCGCTAACAAGTGGAAGAGCTCCACTGGGACGCATCCCAGGCTTCCCGCAACGCTTACGCATCCGGATCTCCAATTCCTTCTCGATGCCGACAAAGTAGCGGTTCATGGCATTCATGAACCGTCGACGATACGAGATGGGACTAATCACTGTGGGGTTCCGGAACGTCAAACTCGCCTTGGACGTTGACTCCATCTTCTTCAGAAAGTCAAACTGATGCAAGTAATCAATTAGGCCCACGATAACTTGGCGTTTGTCCTCGTCAAAACGCAGCAGCTGACGTCCCAACAAAGATCCAGAACAGCAAATCGTTAGTAAACAGCAAAAGTAATCAGACCTATCTTCAAGTCAGACAAACAGGACTCACCAGCGAATAGTCGATGACTCCTGCGCGATACAAAAACCCGGTGTCGTTCTGAATAGCTGCCTCGATGATATCCAGGTCCGGCTGTGCCACTGGAACAGGCATGCGCTCCGAGAAATTGCCATCTAGCAGTACCGGCAAGTTCATGGACACGTGCACGCTTGAGACGCTGTTAAACGCTTCGTGGCAGTCTTCCTCGTCGCTGCTGGAAGCGTTGTATCGTCGCCGCAGAATTCCTTTCAAGTCGTACATCTGCCCCGGTTGAAAGCCGTATGAAAAGTTCTCCATGATCACCACGTACTCTGTGTGCTTCAACAAGCGTCGACTGTGACTGAGCTTGAACAGACCAACGATCTTCGTTATGACCGTCGGTGTCGGGACCTCAACCACGCGCGAGATGAAGTTAAAATACTTCGGAGCCATGTGAACAAACATGTTGAACTCGACCACGGATATTCCCTTTAACACGTAGCGCTTATCGTGTGTCTGCAATACAACAAAATGCGATAGTAAAAGCCCTGTAAACCGACACGATCAATAGACCTACCATCGAGAAGAAGGCGCCGGACTTGCCTCCACTGGTATCCCATCTCTTGCTCTCAATAATAGAGTTCAAAAACTCCACGTTCCCCGGAGCGGTAAGTGCACGCAGTGCGTGAAACTGTGCTGCAAAGTATGCCACGCATTGGACCTCGTGGGTCGTGGAGCCAACCGCGTAGGAGAACTTCATAGAAGTGTGCTGCAAGTCCGTCGAGCGCAACTTGCTTAAATAAATCACCTGTTTCTTGTCCGCCACCGACACCGAGTTTGTGGCGATAGTCGCTGTAGAGCTGGACGAGGCTTCGTCGGTCGCTGCCGGAATCTCAGGCGCGTCCTCACTTTTTGGCGGCGACGGAGCGGATACTTCACTGATACCCATGTTCTCGGACGCATGGAGCTCATCAGCAATGTTGACCTTCTGCTCGAAATGAGCTTCCAGCTGATCGATATACGCCTGGGAGCAGAGAGTGTAGCCGATTAGTGAGCCAATGTCCTTATCGTGAACCTTCACCACGTAGCCATTGACGCCGTTCGGGAGGTTAAAATGACCCTCACGTAACCCTGCGGGCATCTCGGTGTACGGCTTTATCCTGATCGCATCTGATGCGTGTAAACTGTGTCCACTGTACCCACTGTGGCTCACTGGGGTACCGATGGATCGATTCGACTCCGGAACAGACGAACTGCGCTTGTCGTGTCTTGCAACAATGAGCGAGCTCGGTCGCTTGATCTCCAGAGACGAGCCCGACGTGTACGATAACTCCAGTTTCCCCACCGTCGAGTTCGATGTGCTCGTCGATATAGAGCTATCTTCACTTAGACTAGGCTGGCCACGGTCTTTCATTAACGGCACACACTCCGTAAACCAGTCCAAAGGGATACGACGCTTTGTAGGAGACTCGGCCACAATCTTCTTAATCGTCGCATGTTCCTGAGATGGAGCCAGCGAAATAACTCTCTCACGTAGCCGACAGACCAGTAAGAACAGCGTTTTCAGCAGCATATTACATCCAAGCACACTGGTACGTTCCGACTCCAGCGTCGCCTTGGCGCCTACTCGAAACGTTGCGATAGATGAATTTACCTCCACTCGAAGTCTCTGGATCTCCTTAAGTGGCACACACGGCACGGATGGAAGGAACTCCTGCGCAGTGCACAGATTTTCCTCCAAAATAGCGATATTTTCCAAAATGAAAGAGACAGCCAGCTCAACTTTCGAGTCAAGGATGTCAGCGAACTGTTTCACGTAGTCACGACGGCAACTTTCGTCCGTTTTGCGCTTCGACTGCATCGTCGACGCAATAAACTTGTACGGTCTCCATGCGGCACGACTGTGCTTCTGTTTAGCGCCGTTACTCTCTCCATTCATCTCGTTGACCATCGAAGCGCTGACTAACGATCCGTCCTCGTCAGTTGACGACCGCATGCGTCGGAAACTGCGACTTCTGGTACTCGATCCACTCTCCGATTCGTCTGCTGCAAAAAACGACGCACGACTGCGTACGATCATCTCACTGAGCGCTGAGATCCAGAAAGCTCTAGATGTGCCATCCACTGCGTTTAAACGTAACGTACGCTCTCCATTACATACCGAGAACTGGAACTGCCGCGGCTTGGACGCCTCCTCCACTAGAAGCGTCGTATGTCTGTCAATCAGCTCCTCGCTCGCCTGTATCATGGACGCTCGGTCTCTTAAGCACACGAGGCTACTGGAATCCCATCGTAATAAAAAGTAGCGCAGCTTCCAGCTCCGTGACAGCGTTCCGCGTACACCGAGCCAGCCTTCTTTTTGAATATCGTCGTCTGTAAAGTCCACTCGCACGAAATTCGATGACCTTTTGGTTGACCCAAGCTGGAAATACGCCTTCAAAGAGTCTCGATACACGCGGTAGTATCTGTTCGGGCCCTGCGTACGAGACAGTCTAGATTCACGGTCGTAGGTCGGCGACGGCGCTGTACTAAGTCGCGACTGCTCTGTTTCGGCTTGTGCGGCAGATAACGGCGTCCGCACGCGCGTATGAATCCACCTACGCCGCCTTAGAAAGTGATGATACCCACGCTTTACCTTACTGGTGCCCTCGGCGAGGCGGCAGTTGATGCGCCCAATAGACGAGCCGTACGTCCATCCTTCCTCATCGCATTGTGTGTAGTCACTGTCGGGCATCCAGTCGTGGCTCCACATCCAATCGGAAGAGGGAAGTACGCCCACCTCGAGCTCAGGCGCCTCCTGGACGCCATTTAGGCGGTCGTTTCGGCCCGAAACGCGCAGCGCAGCGCGTGTGAGCGCGTGGTACGTGTTGCCGCTACGGTCACAAAATCGCTCTAGCGTCCAGCCGTGAAAAGGCTGCAGCACCTGCACCTCGAAGGCCTCCTCGACCACCGAATCCATTCGGCGCTGCGTCCTGATGCGGCCCGGGACTGCTGCTTACTACTCCGATACAATTCGCACGCTTCGAAGACTAATTGGCACTGTGCTTTAGTGAAAGAGAGCGCAAAAGAGGCTACTATTGAGGATGATAGCCCTGTGGCCATTATGGCCAATTATGTACGTTAAAATCGTTTTTTGCTATGACGTCGACATGCCGAGATTCATGTTTCAGCCAATGAATGAGTAGAGACAAGTTTGATGTCTGCAGACAGGCGAGAACTGCGCTTTTTGACACATCGCAGTGCAAATGATGGATCGGAGGCGAGGCGGCGACAACATTTTTGCCTCAAGAACTGTTGCGATGGTGCTGCCGGCGGCGACCTCAATTCAATCGCTGCAGTCGCCATTCGATTATGGGCTCTGTTAAAAGTTGGTTGGCGGGGGATTTCGCGGTACAAACGTAACTGACACCAGTGCCCCGGCACAATACTACACGCTCACATAGACCGGTCTCGTTCCACCCGCGTTTGATGCTCGCGTTCGAGCAAAATGCATGGCGGCACAGGAACTTCGGATAAATTATGTTGCTCTCAAAAGGGATCTGCCTAAGCTGCGAGTGTATCCTATCCAGCGCGGCGGTACATGTATTATAAATTATAATGATTATAATTTATAATCATGAAGACTTTTGCCTATTATATTAGCGCCGTCGGGAACCCACCTGGTTTATCCTGGCAAAAATATCCAGGCAAGTTTGTCCCATCCTCATTTCGTTGTTGTCGTTGATGGACACTTGGTGCCCGACGAATCAGGGTACCATCATCTTTCGCGCTTATCTTAAGAGTCTGGTACGAGAGCATACGCTTTTCTAACCAAAAATAAACACTTTTTGGTGATCGGTAGACATAATTTGACACGACCAAACACTTATGCCTACACTTTTCTGACCACTAGTGGGATTTCACCTCTTTTACGTACGTCTGCACTTTCCGCGCGGAACCTGCACAAAACGGGCGAAACGCTCATAATTACCTGACTTTGTCAATTAATTCTGAACCGCTGGTTCACATTTACCTGACTTTGTCAATTAATTCTGAACCGCTGGTTCACATTTACCTGGAGAAACGCGGCCAGGACAATATTTATTTTTCCTAAAGAGCACATTTGTAGGGATATAAAAAACTTAAGCCCGCTTACGCTGAATTTGTCTCTACTACTCCGTCTGGCGATAAAATTCTGAACCTCAGCCTAAAGGGTCAGATACTCTCCTACCTGACCACCACCCAAGCGTCTGCACGATGCCCCCCAAACTCTTCTGGACCAAGCGTGCCGAGCTGCATGTCGAGTCCGACTTCGTCAAGTATCGATGGGATCATTTTTGCTGCTCGAGCAATTTTTCAGTGAGAACAAAATGGTGCAGCATTTGCGCAGGCGACCACGAAATGGTCGAGCGCCGCCTGCAATGTAAGAGCCCGACTTGCGGAGGATCGGGGTTGCCGAAGAAGTGTGCAGTGCAATGATAAGTTCAACACTGCGAACTCTCGTCGACGTGGGTCGTTCTCGAGAACACTGAGAGGCATTCACGAGGCGATACGCCGTGTGCTGTAGGACCACGCCCACGCGTTACTCCTGAAATGCGGGAGTATACATCAAACGCATGGATGAGAGCGCAGTACCACCACGCTTGATATGGAGTAATCTTCTGCGAGCACCGGAGATTCCTTCCCCAGCGCTAGGATTTCCATCGATCGCCCAGTTCCAGCGAAACGTTCGTTACAATCGATGGCTGCACGGATCGAAGAACTCAATACTTAAGACACGCGAGCTGGTCATTTCGAAAGCATTCAGAGCCGATATTGACCCAGAGTCGGCGTTCGTTTTTGGAAACCGACAGGACGAAAGGGGATTTCCGTTTGTGGGTAATGGCGAGGACACTGAACCTTTGATTTTGGGTATAACCAGTCTGAAACTCATGCAAACTATTCTGGCGCTACAGCAGAAGGAGAACTTCTTGATTTTTCACCTCGATGCAACTTTCAAACTCAGTGACCTGGGGTATCCAGTTATAACCTGTGGCTTTACTGACCGGCGAAGAATCTACCACCTAGCCAGTATGTTTATTGTGAGCCAGCGAACTGAGCGTGAGTACTATGAGGCTGTTGGTAGTTTCGTCAGGGTTTTTCGGGAGCGATTGGGTGTGGCACTGCGTATCGATGCTGTGATGGGAGACGCGGAGAAGGCTCAAGTAAATGGATTAGTTGCTATCAGTGGGTTTGAGAACAGCATTTACCTTATGTGCTTTTTCCACGTATTACGTAAGCGTATGCAGCACCTCGCCGCAGCCCTTCGAGCTGTTGTGTACCGTGGAGTTCTAGATATGCACTACACGCTTAGCAAGGACCATCTATATCTGGAGTGGAATCGCATTTCTCAGGAATGGCTCCTGGACGGAAGACTAGAAACTTTCACGAACTATTTCTACAGTCAATAGATCGCTAGTCTCTTCTGGCGGTGGCAGATTTTTCATTCGCCGGGGGCTTTTGCAACTACGAACAATCCTGTGAAGTTTTCAACGCAAGCTTAAAGAGATACACACAACGCAAGGCGTGTGACACAAGAAGGTTGCTGCTAAAACTTGTGACGATAACGGAAGACTACTCTATATGCCTTCCCACGTCTGTAGCGGGCGGTCGAATTACACCGCCCAAGGAGGCTACACGATTGGCAAAAGTATTGGTTTCAACGAGTCGGGTGCCTATCTACGCTACCCCCACGCCTTCGGTGGTACGTGTTTTATATGTTGGCGATGATCGAGAGATCCCTACAGAGGTGAATGACATCTCGTCGCTTTCCGACGACGTTCCTCTCAGCAGTGAGCGTCTCGCTTCGTTAATTTCCCCCGAGTGCCTTCAAGATGAGGAGAAAAAAAAGGCGGCGAGCTTTTACAGGTCTGCTGTTAAGTGGTCAGTGCGTCGAGCCCACCACGTTGGTATGCCCAGAGAGGGGTAAGTGGTGCGAACAGACTCCAACCAGTGCTCCTGCTACTACTATGAAAAGTTTTAGTCTTGCGCGCACATTATTTGCGGTCGCGCTGCGTACGGTCTCAGCGTTCCTGGCGTCAACGGATACCAACTAAAATTTAAAGATCGACGGATTCGACGAAATGTACAAGGTCAAGGTAGGTCGGATCAAGAATTTGGTGCCAATGTACAGAGGACTCAGATGACATTGCCGGGAGGTTTACCCGCACTACCCTTAGCTATCCCGGATCATTTGCATTGCGGTCCGATACGCTATCCCTCGGGTCTTATGCTAGATTCTTACGTTCCCAACCAGATTTGGAGTGCGGGTGCGGTGGGAGTAAACCCCGAGGCATGGGATACGCGCCTTCCGGGTAATTACCAGTACGATACGTGGAACATCACCCCTCAATACCTGACACCAACCGTGGCCCTGCCCTTGAGGCATACGCGTGGTAGACCTCCGCTAGCATCCCCAGCGCTAGATGTTCAATACGTACTACGGTGAGCTCAGCATACGAATAACATTTTCTTAGTTGAATGACACATTGCTTTGAATTCTTTCGTGAACAAGTCTTGTACTAGCTGTAGTCTTACCTAAGCGTGGCATCACGCTCGGTAAAACAAACCTCTGTTACGAGTTGCTAGTCTACTTGTACATGTTGTCGTACGGACAAGTAAGTGTCCACAATAAAGGTAAACTGTTAAATAATTGTCAACATTAGAGTTCATAATTACGTGCCAGTGTAACTTAATTGTGAGCTCTCGGTCCACAATAAATTGACTAGATCGCATTATTGTGAACCGCAGCCCATCTAGAACTTGGCACATAATTTTAGCACTGTCATTTAGTTATGAGGAGCTACATTGTGTGATAGTATTAGAAATTCAAAGTACTTAACCGAATAGGACCGGTCACTATAAAAAAACCCTTTGGACCGGTTCACTTTAAAGAAACATTCAATTTCCTCACTTCTTCCCACTCGGCACCCCCTGAGCTAACGAAATGACCCAGAAGACGAGAGTGAGGGACCAGTGGGCGACCATTCAGTCCTGGAAGCGTCACCCCGGGTGGTCAACTGCGGATGCTGTGCGCCATCTCGGAATCGCCCGACCGAAGCTCCTTACTTGGAAGAGAAAATACTGGGACATGCTGGAGCCACCAGAGGAAGATGGCCAGCGCTATCGAGTGAAGGGAGCGGGGCGTCCGTACAAGCTGGCAAGCTACGAGTTTCAGGCCTTGGAGTACTACGACAGAAGTTTGCGGGAGGACGAAGTGGTGCACTACGCAGACTTCCTGCGATACCTAAGAACTATTCCTGAATTTGCCATAATACACAAGGAAACGCAACGATCGCGAGCAAGACGCTTCATGAAACGATACGACCCCGGTAGCGAAGAGGCAGGGGCCACAAGAGCTGCTGTTAATGCCGGTGATCCTGCGCTACACGTGGAAGCTGGTACAAGTGGAGATGCAAATGCAGACAAATCATACCCCGTATCAGATGTCGCTCTCTGCGAATCAGGCGAAGGCCCTAACCCGGAATCAGTCGGAGATTCCGCTCCGATTCCATTGGATGCATCAGTTTTAGAATTAGACTTGGAGCTCCCAGGACCAGTGGCTAGCGTTGAATCAGGGGTGGAATCAGAAAAGAGAAAAAAGCCTCGATTTTGCCTTGAAAATCCAACTGGAGATCCCGACACCAAGCTCCTGCAACAGAGTGCCGCCCCATACAGCCTGCGGCCACGAAATAACCTACTTGCCCCTGTACGCATCTACCCCCACGCCGCAGGTAGATCCGCAGAGCTTGCTCGACTCCACTCTTCGCTGATGACATCGCCAGCGTAAAGGAAGGAGCTCCGATTACTAGCTCCGTGGTTGACTATTGTATCTCTCGTTACACAAAACCCGAACCAGAGCTCATGTTACCTGCAAGATCGGCTGTATTTTTCGCCATTAGCTACGCCTACATCAGGCACTCGGGTCGGGAGTCTAGCGCCCCCGACACAATTGGTGATTTCGATTGGAGTGGATACAAATATGTATTACTGCCTGTGGCGTTTAGCGACCACTGGAGCGTTGTATTTATCCAGAATGGCAGTGACGCAAAAAAGATATATTATCACATCGACTCGCTTCACAATGGTCACGACAAGGAGTACATTTTCGCGTGTCTGGACTGGTGGTTTGCGGTTCTACACACGAGCCGTGGGAGATTCGAGGCAGCCAGGGGTTTTTCCCACACCTGCAAGCCCCGCCAGACTAATGCGGTAGATTGCGGCATATATATGTTGCACTACCTTTACAAGGTCGCCCAGCATATCAAGCAGCACAAGCCAAGTTCTATCCTGCTGCAGATTGAGACGCTCGCCAAGGGTGGCTTTAATGCCAGCAAGGCCAACCAAGCTAGGACGTCTCTGCTTTCTTAGCTCACAAAGACTATGTAAAAGCTATTAATAGCTACTAGGACACAGATTTACTGAATTAAGTCGTTTAAAATGACAATTTTTCTCTTCTCCGTTGATGTACGGCTTGCGCAAGCTATTAATAGGTAGGCCTCCATGCCTCGGAGCCCATGGAGCATGGACCCGCTACACGCTGCCCACAGGAAACAAAAGCCATGATTTGCTGTGCAGCAGCGTGCTCGGCGTCGTGCAAACGCGCACTGGCCCTTCTACGTGTGAAAGTGTATACTGGCGGCTATTTTGTGGTGTCTACTGAGGCCGAATCTCATTCTAATGTGGGCTTTCACACTTATCTTAATATAGCATTTATTAATAAAATTGTTTTTGAAGTACACCAGCAACTTGCTGGCAGCAAGTTGACCTGCAGGTCCAGCGTATCATATCAGCGCTTTGAATATCCATTAGGCAAACGCAACGAAAGACTTGTAGGGCAGCTTGCGCTGCTCGTCGTGGTCGATGCGTGCGTATGTCCCAACCTGGCGACGGTGTCGATTGTTCGTCTAAATAACATCATCTGAGACTTTCGTTCGACCACCGAGATTCGGACGTTGTCGGACACTTGACAAGGCAAGTGGCCATCACTGTAAACTTCCATGCCGTTCAAAACGTGAACACGATTTAAAGAGGAAACAAATGTATTGTATGCAGGTGTCTTGTTGAAGCCCGTCAGCCTGGCCTAGTGCACATTGACCTCACGTCGAATGACATCGACCACCTCGTCGTCCTCGCCATCAGCTGAATCGTGCTCGTCAGCCGTGTCAACGTTGCTGGGGCGTCCCTCGTGACCAAAGCCCCCCTTACGTGGACTGCTATTATCGCCGTATTGGCACAAATTCGTAAGCAACGGGATTAAGTACTTGTTATCGAACTGCAACGCTCTCATGTGCCGGTGAGGCTTCACCGTCTTGTCGAGAGCCGCCTCCTCCTCAGCCTGTCCATTCGAGACGAACAACAACAACAACATCATCATCAGCTGCTATCGAGCAATACTAATACATATCGCAGTACGATTCGCACTGCGTACTTACCGTCAATCGTGGGATGCCGCATTTGTCGAGCACCGCAACGGTGCCGCCGCCCATGACGATAATTGATAGCAGCACAACGATCAACGTGGTGGCCACAATTTCAGGGCGTTTATCACCAGGAAAAGATTTGGATAACGCAAAGGCGACGGCACCACGCATGCCGCCGTACCAGATTACATGCTGCTGATTCATTGTTATCTTTGCGGCGTTCTTGCGTAGATTCAACAGGTAGGAAAGCGAGTAAACCGCACAACCTCGAGAGAACAAGCAGAAGGTAGCCATCCAGAAGATAAGCCAAAATCGGTAGTACTCCGTCAGTCCAAACGCTGAAAGCCCGAGATCTGGCAAAGAAGATCAATGAAGTAATACTTGGTTAGAAACCTGACAAAACATTTGTATTAAACCCTCCACGTACTCAAGAACACCGACGTTTCAGCCATGTGTGACAGCGTATTGAACACTCCAGAGCACCTACAAGTTAGAAAAGACCGTAAGAGCAAAGTATATACCGTGGTTTCGAGAAAGTTGGGTAGACTTACACGTCGCGAGCTTCCGGTGTCAGGTTAGGTGATGCGTAGTGTTTCATCGAGACACCAGCGAAAATGACCGACACAACTCCCGACAGCCCCAGAACTTCAGACGCAACAAAAGGCAAGTAAGCAAACATGACGAAGACACCTACTTCGTGAAGTAGGTTACTTCGCAAGTTGCCATATTTGAAAAGTAGTGCTGGAATCATGCCAAAAATGACTCCGACCATCGTGGAGCCCGTGAGCACCAAACCGAACTCGAAAATGGCAAATAGCATGGGCTTGAACTCGTACGAGTGCCCAATGAAGCGAGAAAAGGTCTCAAAGAGGCAGATGGCTACAGCGTCGTTAAGTGAGCTCTCTCCGAACACGAGATAGAAGAGTGTCGGGTCAACGTGGAGCTCCTGAAACACAGCCAGGATGGAAACGGCGTCTGTAGCGGAGATTAAAGAGCCAAAGGTGAGAGCCTCGGCCATCGATAGTCTCAAGACCCAGCCAAAGCGACCAATAGTGAAGATACCGATACCCGTGACGACGCTCATGACAAGTGTGCCAAAGATCGAGTAGACAAGGATCGGCGTGATGTTCTCGAAAAAGTAGCGGCGCTTCATGGTGTAGCCCGAGTTAAAGATAATCGGGGGTAGCATTCCGACGAAGAAGAAGTTGGGATCGAAGTCCATGAGTTTCACCGCGATCGAACTCGAGTTCATTAGCAAGCAGAAGATGCTGGCTAGAATACCGACACCGATGGTGGCGGCAGCTTCAGGTAGGAAGTGCCAGTGCAGCTTGTGGGTCACATGGTTGCACAGGAAAATGGCGATCATTAGCAGGAGCATGAAGGCGGCGAACTGGAACGCGACCGAGTACTCCTCACTGATCTCCTCAATGATGTGTTCATCGTGCGAAGACGTCATGGCGGTGACGATAGAATTCCTCGATCAATCCAAGCAAAAGGCAACGAAAGTCTCTTGAGTGTCTCTGAATGGCTTGCAGACTGCCTCAAGCGTCGGCGGCATGTAAGGCTAGTAACCGCTTGGCATGAAGAACCGAGAAAGTTATTCTCGGCATTTGCCTCACAAACGCCCGGTGAAAGATCTGCGTGTTTCGACAAGGTCATGGTAGTCTTGATGAAAGTCACAGCGATCAACGTTGATCTAAAGGGGTTGGTCTCCGATGCCACGGATGGGTGCTGAAGCCGCTCAGTGGCAGAGACTTATTATGCAACTGCAGTCTGTCAAGGCGGACACCTCGGTAATGGTTCTGAATTATTGTGGCGATGCGCCGATTTGCTCTGCCATTGGAGATGCTACATTCGCCTTGAAGCCACACTCGTACAGGCTGCTTATGAATCCAAGCATCGCCATTAAAGTTAATGGTTTAATTTAAACCATTTGCGCATGTGGGCCTGCTGCGTAGCGCAGGCATGAGTAGATTACCAGCATTCCCTATTGAATTCCATTGATTCGAGTTCAGTGGCTGTATAGCCGTTATGTGGCCGTCGGCAACATGCCGTTGGTGTCAGATCCTGTACATGTACATGCACTGTACTTATGTGCCACTTCATTTATAGCCACTTCAGCGTGATTGCGGCACTTCAGATCAAAGGCCGCCTCTCCCGCCTGAGTTACTCAGCGAGCCAAAGAAGGAAAGAAAGAACCTTCAGGGCAAGGGCGGCACCGGCCAGCTGCACAAGGGCAATCAGCCCTTAAGACACGCACTCTGGAAAACGCCAGCGCCTGTCAGTTGCTGCCACAGACAACCAACGGTTGCGCCGGTGGTGGTTACGCGGATACCGGTATTTTTTTCCCCGAGAGATCCTACCGCTGCTTGGATAGTTCGCCAAGGCTTTAGACTCAGACTGCGCGATGCTCTTCGGCTCGCAGTACGACGAGGACGGTGGCACCGACCACAGCGGCAGCTCCACGACGCCGCCGCAGTCGTCACGAAAGAAAAAGTCGGTCGTCTCCTCCCGCAAGAGCAAGACCAGTAGCCGACGCGACAAGACCCGCCCCAGTATGGCCGGCGCCGCCTCCGCTGTCATCGCCGCTGGACCTAGCAGTCCAACACGGTCTTTTGACTCCACCAACTCATCGTCGGCGTCGTCGACGTCCTACTTCGCTCCCAACCAGCGCAACGGAGGCACCAGCAACTTCAACTACTCAAGTTTTGTGGACAACAGCGTGCCTGTTAATGGCAATGGTATTACTGCGGTGAACGCGCCGACACTACTGCCGAAGACACGGCGACGCGTCTCTAAGAAGAAGCCCGAGCGATTTAAAAAACCCAAGCGACCAGTGGACCGCCAGTGCATGTATCCAAATGTGTGGAAGCAGCTACAATTCCGCAAGAAGATCGTGCAGCTCGCCACTAATATGAGCGAGAAGCCCATCTGTGTCACGGGTGTCGATGGCTTCTTAGCCTCATGGATCGTATGTGAGCTCCTTAGTCGCGGCTACCACGTACGCGGCACGGTACAGAACGGCAAGGATGATATCTCGGGCTTGCTGCAGCTCCCCAACGCCAGCAAGAACTTTTCAGTCGTGGAGACGTCGCTTCTGACGCCTGAGGCGTGCGACATGGCCGTTCAAGGTGCGTTATTAGATCCTCTAAGATCTTTTTTTTCTGATTATAATTTATGTGTCTGATTCCGCAGGGTGCGACTTTGTGATCCACACGGGCACACCGTCGTCATGCTCTGTACGAGACCCTCTGTCTGAGCAGCAGGAGCCGGGAGTGCACAGTATTGGCAGTCGGATGCACTGCATCATCCCCATGATGACGAACTTCATTCAAGCTTGTGCTCGAGGGCGTATCAAGCGAGTGGTGTTGACCTCGTCGATTGCTGCGATGGCGGACTCGGTGACGCCGGACTCGATCATCAACGATGCCTGCTGGAACGTGACGTCGTCGTTGGAGAAGAATCCGCATTTCTTGAGCTTAAAGCTGGCCGAGGAAGCGGCGTGGCAGCTTGTCGATCAATTGCCGAGTGATCGTCGGATTGATCTGGTGACGATGAACCCGGGAACGCTGTTTGGGCCGATGCTGTCCAAGTCGAAGCTGGCGCCTGGGAACCAAGTCATTTATGATTTAATTACGGGCCAATACTCGGCGTTAGTGGATCTGAACTGGAGCATGATCGACGTTCGCGACTGTGCTGTAGCACATGTTGCAGCCTTGGAGAACAATGACGCGCGTGGACGATACATCTGCGTCAACAGGAGCGTCTGGATGAAGGATATTGTCGAGATGCTGTCGAATAATGGCTACAGTGGTCGGGATTTGCCGTGGAGAGTGGGGCTGCCTCGCTGGGTGGGGCGCTTGCCAGCGTACTCGATCCAATTGGGACAGGTTGGCGCCTCATTGTATGCGTACGACCCTACGTCCGTCCGATCGTCGCCGTATCTTGGGGACAAGATTGTGGAACACCTGAATGCTCGCTTCCGCACAGTCGACTCGACTGTCGTGGAGTCTGCGAATGATCTGTTGAAGTGGGGACTCATTAAACCCTGGGCAGAAGATCACGAGGCGCTGGAGTGTGGCTGCTGCCACAACCCGTTCACTTTCTATCGAAGAAAACACCACTGTCGGGTAAGATCTGACGAGATCTTTTTAAGAATTAGAACGCGTATCTCACATGTGTATGCTGGTCTTGTTTGTGCAGGAATGTGGTGTGATTATTTGCAATGATTGCTCCATGTCTCGAGCGGTTGTGGAAGGCACGGAAGGACGCGCACGACTGTGTGACAAGTGTGTGAAGGGATCGATCCCAGACCTGCTCGAACTATTACGAGACGAGGATCCAGACAAGAAGCGCACGGCGGTAGTAGCTTTGGAGTCGTTGATGGAGAACCCGTTGAATCACGACTACGTCACTCGTTTCGGCGGTATCTTGCTGCTGATGGATGCGATCCACCACCCTGATGAACCGATTTCGTCGCATGCTGCTGGGGCGTTGTGTGCGCTGTCGTTAAGTGTGGCCAGTACGCTTCAAATGGTGCTCGAGGGGGCTGTCCTACAGATGCTGGAGGTCGAGGAAACGCTGAGTACGTGGGCTATTTGTCTGCAAGCGCTTCGTAACATCTGGAAGCAGATCAATCGGCAGGATTTCCGACGGATGCTTCACGCTGTAGCTCGTGTATCTGCTGACGCCAATATCGGTACGGTAGCCAACTTGCTTGGTGAGCTGGTGAGCAAAGCTTGTTCTTACAGGGGTGTGTTTATGAATAGGTGAACTTCGGGGTAACATTCTGCTTACGTTTGTACACATGATGGATGCTGAAGAGGTCCCCACTTTGTTGTCCGAGGGGCTTTTGTCCGTGCTGTACCACATGCTGCAGTCGACTGCTGAGTTCCCTCGTTGTGCTGCCGCGCACGCAATAAAGCACTTGGTGCCTGCAGGTTATGATCCGGATGTGAGGATCGATGTTCCACCTTACGTCGTGGATGACCACGAGGAGCTGTTCCTGAACTCGTCACTGTCTGATCTTCAATTCCTCGTCAAAGGTCACATCGCACCGATTAATGCACACAAGGTCGTGTTGTTTTTCCGCAACTCGTACTTCAAGAACATGGTGAGAGTGAGTATCGTCTGCATGCCTGTCTGAATTCCCCCTTATTGTCTTACGTATTAGGATATGTGGAGTACTAAGTTTTGCTCATGCATTGTAGTTTGGCACAGCGACCAGTCAAACCGCAGTCATTGAAGTCGACAACTGCAGTTACGAAGTCTTCTCGATCTTATTGCGCTTCTTGGTACGTTTTGGTATATATTCTTGAACGAGTGTGTAAACACTAACAATAGTTGTGGTGGTCTGCAGTACACTGGCAAGGTGGACATTACGCCGGATGTGGCCGAAGAATTGCTGCGAGCGTCGTCGTTCTACTGTGTGTACGAGCTGCAGAAGCGTACGGAGGCATTTTTGAGCGGCCAGATTTGTGTCGAGAACGTGGTGGACTTGTTGACGCTGTCCGAAGAATGCAATGCCGACGATCTCAAGAAGAACTGCGTGCCGTTCTTGATGCGTCACATTCACGAGGTCGTGCGGCTGCCTGCGTTCGAGGAACACCGTGTGCGCTCGAGCGAGGAAGTCTTGAAGGCTCTGACGAACATGCTTGGACCTGAATGGGAAACAAGCTACGCGAAGTTCAAGAAGTCCGTTGGAATTAAGGACAAAGACGTGGAAGATGAAGAGCCTGCGGAAGCTGAGAAGACCGACGAAGAGGAAGAAATGCAGCCGACTGGACACCAGGTGAACGAGATCCAAAAGGCTCCGCTCTCGCCGCGCTTCTTGCTGTCGCCTGTGCCGCCCCCCAGCTTCTCGGGGAACACGTCGGCATTTGCGACGGAATCACCACGGCTGAATACCGTGGGAGAAGAGAAGTCGACGGAGAATTTCCACTTCATGAAAACTTTCGGCAACGAGGACGTGCTCTTCCGACGTTCTCGCAACATCTCGGAGGACTATTCGGAGGGGTTATCGGAAGGCGTGTGCTAGGGTTTTAATGATTTATATGAGCTGCGAGGGCAAGTGGTGGTGTGTGTGCCTGACAAATAATCGAAATGAAGCTTGAAGTTGTTGGTATTACATGTATCTTTCTTATTCACCTTTGCAACGGCCTTTGGATGGTACGTCACTCTAAGCTTGAAATAGCGATCCCAAAACAGATTACAAATTTACTTAAGTGGCTCTTAAGTGCTTGATTAAAACAGAGCTGTACTTATTTTCGTTTCAAATTGGTCTATAGTCCTATTATACCTTTTTTTGCACCAAATTTCTTCTCAGGAGAACAACAGACACAAGCATTCCGTAGGCGCGTGCCTTGATGGGAACAGAGCTGCTGTAGATCCCAAATGGACGTCGCCAGGACCAGGTCACAGCAGCACGCGGACGAGGAACATAAGGCGCGCGGCGACGTCGTGGTGCGCGTAGGAGACGCGACCACGGGCACCGTCCACGCGGTGGCGCTGGCCTCAGCCAAGTACGTAATTTCGCTTCCACTTGGGTTGAATCTGCGCTAATTCGTCCATAGAAACTTGCACTTGCTCATACAATCTTTCATATGCTTGTCTGCCCTCTCAGTGTCGTGGTCGAGGAGCTACGCGAGGAACTAGAGCGACTTAGCGGCGTCCCCGCAGCCGACCAAATTTTACTGGGCGGCCCGCCCTTCGCGCGGCTGGACCCGCGCCGCGCCGTTGAGTACTATGGACTGCCAACAGTAAGCTACAACGCACTGATTCCAGTTATTGTAAGTTGAAGAGAAGCTCACATATTTACCGCTAGCAGGAGGACAAGGAGGTGTTTTTGTACGACCGTCGACTGCTGTCACAAGAAGCGGCCACGCCTCCGCCCACGTCGGCAGCTTTATCTCCAGTTTATGTCGAGTGTACGACGCCTTACTATTTCTTCGCTAATCTAGTATTATTACTGATTTTTTTTATTATCTTATTAAAGTGCCGTCGCAGCCTGTGGCTTCATCGGAAGGCTCGAAGATGCTGAGTGAGAGCTCGCATCCGATGATGCGCGCATTGGTGGAGTATGAGGGTTACTTTCAGCTACAGGTCAGCCAAAGCGAGGCTCTGGAGAGCGGTACTCGCGCCAATATTACTGTCAGTGAGCGTGGCGCACAGGAGTTGCAGGTCCAGGAACGCGCTATCGCTGCAGCTGTGGCCAATTTGGATTTGTTTAAAACATCGATGATGAAGCATTTCGCTCCGTTCTGGGCGGATTTCCAGGCTACGAGCGACAAACACGAACGACTGTTGAGCCAGTTCGACAGCTATCTGGAGGCGCTGGCTACAGTGGATCTGCACCCCACATTGGCGACAGACGAGCGGAAGACGCTGCATGACTGTATCCCTGTTGAGAAGGAGCGTGAATGGGCGTCTCAGTGTGAGCAGTCGCACACGCATGTACGAGGACAGGTACTGAAGCTTCAACAGGTCCACGATGAGATCTGCAAGGAAGTCACAGACATGCTGGATGCACATGGAGAAACATGTCGAGAGTACGAGCAAGCGAGTACGGAGTTGAACGAGATGAAAGCGCTGGGGAGCAAGCAAATGAACATCACAAACACCTTGCGTGGCAATCTACAGTACGTACTCAGCAGCATAGAGGAGACGTCGACGATAGCTAGCGGAAGTAATCCTATGCAGGCGTCCACGAATGCTCTAGACGTGTGTCGGCGTATTGACGAGCTATATCAAGGACAGCAGAACATGGTACGAAAGGAAGATTAAGCTGTGCTATGTGTGCAGGGCTCAAGACTCACCCCCATCTTGCTGCAATAGGTTCCTGATGCACAGAAGCTGGTGGACGATATCGTGACGCATGTGGACAGAATTGCAGCTAACAAGTCCAAGACATTCGCACGAGTGCATTCCACTTTACGCCAGATTTCGATCTCGCAGTCAAAGATCCGAGATTTTGAGAACTCGCTGGCCGTTTTTCGAGAGGCATTAGCTGCCCAGAAGAAACATTTTTACGAGCTGGAGCATCTTGACAAGCTACCAGGTAATTTTCAAAACTGATGTGTGCTGTGTATCTTTTACGCTGACTTATCCTGTATGGCAGAATCGTATGCGGCCTGCTTGAAGGAGATATCAAGGCGTCTTAAGTACGGCCGCATGTTTTCGGATCGCATTCAGTCTATGGCTGAGGAACTGGCGCAACTGCGTGAGGATGAGGTAGGTATTTGTGTTTGTTGCTATACTATAAGTGCTTGTACTTATGTTCTGTTGCTTAGGTTCAACACCGTGAGGAGTTTTTACGCAGCTTTGGTCAACATTTGCCTCGCGATTTTGTGTCGGGGCTCGCGGAGAAGCCGTCACATTGTGAATTCCGCATGCGTCCATTTGACCAAAGCCTGCCGCTAATTGAAGACGAGGGCGAACAAGATTTCGACCCGTACGAAGACAAGGAGCGTCCGTCTTCCGACGAGTTCGTTGATTGCGAGGATCATGGTAGCTCCTCCAAATCAGCCAACAATATGGATCTTCTTCAGGAACGCTGCAAGGAACTGGAAGCTCGCGTGTCGGAGCTCACATCAGAGTTGGAGCAGTCAAAGAAGAATCTGTACTATGATGGATCAGGCAGCGAGTCGATTGCTCGCTCCGATTTATCCAAGACCAGTGCACGTGAGGGAGACAGCTCATGCGAGTTCCCGCTGGTGATGGCGTTAGCAGCGACGGCAGGCGGCATGACCGGCTCCTCGGAGGCGGACGGGTCCAATATTCTCGACCAGGAGTTAGCTACTGTGAGGCGAAACATCGGTAAGTATGAAGAGAGCGTCGGTGCTTTGAATGGTTCACTAAATTGGCTTGTTTAACAGGCTCAGGTGCCGATAACAAGGATGCGACTATCGCCAAGCTGGAGGTGCGTCTGCGTGGGATAAGATGAGGTTGATATCGACTAACTAGCGTGTATTCTTGGCGGTTTACAGAGTGAAAATCAGCAATTCTTGCTGAATGCGGCGGCTTTCGAAGAATATCCTTGTCAACTTTTGATTTGCATGCCTTGCTGGGATGGTTGATTAACTAAGATTTCCTTAACCGAGTCGTGCCTTTTTTGTTGTGCGCTTTTAATCTTTACGGAGATTCAGGAGCGATTAAAGCGCGAGAAGCAGCTCAAGGAGAATCAGTCCCAGCTTCAAAAGACGATTAAAGATCTGAGTAGCAGTGTTCGATCACAGCGAACTTCATTGGCCAAGCTACTGAAACTTCTTCAACTCCCTGTGGAACCGCTAAATGTTGAGGATGAGGACATCGGCGCGTTCGTAAACGCCAACTTCGATGCCGTCGAAACTCGAGTGAAGGAGCTACTTGCCAGCGCTGAGTCCGAAGCGGTAGGTGATCGTAGCTCTGTGCGTAGTGCCTGGATCTATTTTACTAATGATTTTTGTGCCATCAGATGCTTCAGTCAGAGCTTGAAAAGCGGCGGTCCGAACTCCACTTGATGGAGTCTGAGCAGGATACAAACGACTCGTTCAAAATCTCTTTCCGGAGCTTCAGTGTTAATGACTTGGCGCTCTTCTTACCGACGTCAGCGCCCGGAAGTGACGCGCAGCGAGTGTACCTGGCCTTCCATCTCGGCTGCCCCCACCGTTTCCTGTCGGAAGAATCCATCTCCTCATTCAGCAACGACGGCCAAAGGTGGGTGTGTTATACTTGGGCCGTTAAACTGTTTTTTTGCTGACTTATACTGTATGTGTAGATACCCCGACTACGTGGTAGGCCGCATCGTGCTGATCGACGAGCAGACAGCGACGGAGGGCAACAACCCATACGCTCTGCACCTTGGGACCACATTTTACGTCCTGACGGTCGCAAGTCTTCACGAAAGTTAAAACATTCACACACACACAGACACACATCATAATCCTGCCGCATAACGTGAATGAAATGTTCAGCGGTGAAGGCGAGCGTTATCCTGTCCTTCCTGCGCTGTACAGTATATACACAGTATTGTGCCTCTTCGCCTTTTATCCTGTACTCGGACAGAAATTCTGTATCACTGAAATTTTACGTTACATTATACAGTTTAACAACCATCACCACGTCAGTCTCATCAATTGTGCCCCCTCCTGCAGCATGAGTGCCCAGACGATCCCCGCTGAGCCTACGACCGCCAAGCGCGCCGCCGAACAGTTCGATCAAGAGTTCCAGCGATACACGACCAAGGAGGTGGGTGTATACAGCTCTAAATATCCAAATATTACAGTAATTTAATGCTGTATTTGTAAAATTCCTGTAGTCTGCCAAGAGTGCGCGTGCTGTGGCTATGGCCCGTGCCGAACTGGCTAAGTACAACGCTCTAGTGTTCCAGGATAAGAAGCTAGAGGAGGCTGGGATCAAGAAAGGTCGAATGTCCCCCGAGCTTCGCGAAGTTTACGAGAAGAAGATCAAAAACCTGGAGGACGCCTTGGACACATTCCACCGCTCTGTGGCCGGCTACAACCGTACCAAGGCCATCTTGAGCTTCGTGTTGCTCGTGGCCTTTGCGCTCATGATGTTCTTCCAGCCGTGGGCCAAACACTTTGACGACCCCAAAGATCTCACGTACGACGAGTACGCGGCTCTCGATGAGGAACCGAGCGAGACGATCAAGGAGACACCACAAGCCGCCGGTCTCAGCGACGAGCTGTAAGGCCCACCTTTCCTTCTCCCTTTATAGACTTACTACTGGGTGTTGTAGCACACTGGCCTCAGGTAGAATGAGGACGACTGACATTGAATCCATTGACTACGTTACCAGTACGACGCCATCGTTAATAATTTACTTACGCTGGTCATTTAGGCGCCACTGGCGCGCTGCATGAGTTGCAGACTCACGGAGCCTGACATGGTGCCGGTGTGTCGCCCACCATCGGCGAGTTCGACGACGAAAGTATTGAGCTTCGGGATCCCGTCAGGTGGGTCGTCGCTGCTGTCGTTTGCAGCTTGTGGGATGCAGATGACGCCCTGACCGAAGCATGGGCCTTGAGTGCCGGCATGCACTTTAATCGCCACGTGCATGTTGCCCGTAGGCCGTGCGAATGTGGTGTGTGTGATACCGTCACGCACGAAGTCACTCCACTTGATATGAGCCACGTTGGTCTTACACAGCAGTCGGTCTGTGTTCTCCAGATACACTCCTCCACTCATCGACTCCGCCAGTTCCAGTAATTTACGCTGAGCTGAGAAGATATCTTCGGATGGCAACGGGAAGACGATCGTGACCATAACTTGGTGACCATGACGATCAAAATTCGAGAAACGTTGGTCCAGATCGATGGAGTTGCCGAACGAAGTCAGAGGGAAGTCTGCCTCTGTATCTGGTTGCCACGAAATGCTGGTATACGCTAGCTGCAGCTGGCATTCCAGCACACCACTGACGTCCTGCATTCGCTGGAGTTTCTTGTTCGCAAGTTCCGTCTCAATAGGTAAGAAGTCGCGGTTTACAAGAGCTTGGAACACTGCGAGCACTGGCTTGTGATCGGAGCAATTGACTTCTTCACACGACGCATACACAGCACACCGCAGTCGATGACGCATGTCTGGCTGGGAGAAGAACAGGATTCGATCTGTGAACGACGGGACTCGCATGCCGTGGCCTTCCACTGCAGTAGTATAGCATTCCGATAGCAATTCCATCGGCCAATTTTCAGCATCAAGGTTCAATGCCGCTCCACGAACACGTCGAAACGTAGGCGGGAAGGCAATCTTGGCCTCACGGAAGCCGTAAAAGATCTGTCCGTCTCTCATACCTGTGCGCAGCTCATCGTGCGCTAGCACATCGTCCCATACAAACTGGTCCTCGTCCACAAGCTCGCAGTCTGCTGAGTATCGGATGCTGTTGTTGCTGCCATTGGACGAAGCAAACATCGACGAGGTGCTTTTAACGCTGCGCTCCAACATACTGACGTCGAGATCGTTGCTGTCTCTGTCACTGCCGGCACCTAGAGAGCTGCCAAGTCCGAAAGAGCTGCCCAGTCCTCGACTTCCCATAGGACTCCATCGCTTACCCAAAAGTCCTCGACGCAAGCTTCGACTTCGCTTCATCGGTGCAGGCTTTGCCGTCTCACACTGCCGAACCTTCGACACAAGCTCCAGTATAGTGTCTGCGCTTGCATCTCGCTGTGTTAACCTATAATTGAGATCACCTAGAACGAAGCTGTGGTGATGGACGTGCGGGAACTCGAAGCCCACATCTTCCAGATTCAAATGCAACTCCTTTAGAATATCCTGCGAGTCTCGATTCCTTCGCCGCACTTTTGATTTGCCCTGCAGAAATTTAAACTGTCAGATACAGGATAACAGCAAGAAATCTTACTTTGACGCCTTACCTTGGGATCTGAGGACAAATGACACGCCACAAAAGCGAACGACGTGTCGTAATACCGGAATGCGAAGCCCACAGCGCCTTTGTTGGACGCTCGGCCCAACACCAGCGATTTACCGACATTGACTTCTTGTTGCACCACAGGAGGCATATAAAAGGCGCCGCTGTCCACATCCGACGACTTGATGAACACGGTGATGGCGATGTGGCCATGATACCCCAATGACGTGTTCTTGCTGCCGATCTCGCGGTTAAATTGGTGGAATTTTGATGCTCTCCGGGCAGGTCCAGCGGTTGCTGGTCGAGGACGTCCTCCTTCCAGATGCTGGCGGATCAAACTGTGAGTGTTTGTCAAGTGTAGACACTCCTGAAGCCCAATGACGTAAACGTCGTGTCCAAGTGGGATCCACTTGTCCAATTGAGCTGGTGTGAGTCTGGCTTCTCCCATGTTGAAAGTAGACACGAAGATGTTGGCAGGTTTACGGTAGTGCTTGACCAGACTGTGATTTGTGCCTGTATCCACCGTAGGAAATGACGGAGAAGTCACGAACTTGTGCGTTGGCGAGATAGACGGTCTGCACGACACTATCCTGTACAGCTTGGTAAGTAGTCCTCCGTAGATAATAGCAGTCGCTAAGCCCTGTGTACACACTGTCACTTGCATTAAAAGTGCCACCGCGAACCTCGAAGAGCCCAGTTCATCGTCAAATACTGCAAAGAAATAATAAAAAGTCAGTGGAAATTATAAAACAAAAATATAATCATATATACTCACGTCGGAAGACCGTGCTAGGCGTCCAAAGCACGATAAAAGCTGCGATATAGATCCGCAGCTTGGACGTGATGAGTGCCCAGGACTCTTGGGCGTCCAAGTTGGCGTCTCGAAAGTCCCGCGAGATGCGGTTATGTGTAAGCCAGAGGATGACGCTAACATAGAGGATCGCTATCACCACGAACAGGTAGAAAGCCCAGAACTGCTTCGCACGTGACTCGACCCAGCAGTAGAACGTGGCGTCTCCGAACAATCTGGCGGCGTAGAGCGCGACACTGCAAGCTACAGCGGGCACGATGGCTAATAGAAGGTAGAGTTTGAACCTGCTCTTGAGTCTCGCCTCGCTGTCTCGGTGTACGATCTTCCGGTAGAAACAGTGGGCAATAGCTGCGTTCCAGAAGACTGACATGAGGCCGAAGACATGCAATGCAAAGGCCTGTACGTTGCAAGCCGCTGAGACGTCCGTGGAGTCCGTTAACGGGTTTCCGAACATCTTCGGGAAGGCTAAACCTGCATCCAGCACCGAAAGCACGACCACCATCTTCTGTACCATTGAGACGCCGCTGTGCAGTCGAGCGGAGACGTAGTGGTGCCGCAGGATGTACAGACAACCGACCAGCGACACCCCGCAGCAGCTCAAGATGACCGCGTGCAGCACGTTCAGCTGCGACTCCGAGAGCCCCGAGTGCTCGTCCTGCAGCGATCGGAAGCTCATGTGGTCAAGCGCCACAACGTTAACGGAGCCCGTGGCTCAATTTACTCGATGGTCTTATATCTCTGGACTGATTCTGATGTGGACTTGTAGCTAATGCAACTAGAGACTCGGACACCGCCGAACTGTGTGCATGACGAGAATGCGGTTGCTGATCTCCTAAGATAGTGAGTAGAAATTGATTTTTTATATAGAACTTCAATTTGAAGCTTAGGAGAAAACATTGACGGTGCGATGTGTCGACCCCCGGCCCATCTACGTTTGGGTAGACTAAGGTTTCAGAAGAGATGCATAGGTGGGACTCAAAGGATTCACTTGGCCGTTGCAAGTTGCAACACGCAAGCACCGCACAAGGAGTTTATCAAGCTCCGCGTTGAATGCCACGGCGCTATTATTTATTGCCACAGGCATGTAGTACGAAGTAATCGGCTATGGCCGTTGGCGCCATGGGAAACGGCCAAGCGTTTCAAAAATTCGGCGGAGGGTTCATTTACAACTCGCGACAACAAACAACGATGCAGTCTTTGTGACTTTCAATTGTACAGACTTGCACCGTGCATTTTCCAGCTCGGGCCATTAACCGGATCAAGTTGACCGTCAGTGCCATGGAGCTCAATCATCACTGAATCGACGTGACGCGGAGCACCGTCGCGTGTGCTGGAGCTCGTTTAAAAGTGTAACCTCAACTAGGGTATAATAACCCTCCTTGAGGTTACATTTTATAAACGTACCCTTCATCTACAAACTTTTTTATCGCCAAGATGGCCCTGTTCATCTTCTGGCGCGTGGGGCTGGCGCTCCTGGCGACGCTGGTCGCCTTCTTCCTCTCCAGACCGGTCATCGAACTAATTCTCAACGCTATTCGTGCCCGTCTCGATAAACGCGTGCGGTGCGGAACCCGACATCTTGAAAATACCACGAGAAGTGGCATTATTTTTTTCTAATGCACGTAATTATTGCGTTCTAGATGGATCGCGGACGTACAGCACTACATGCTGACGTATCTATGGTGGTTCCTATTCCTAATCCTGGTGCGCGACGTGATAGCCCGATACATTCTGGACCTGGGAAGCGAAGAAGACGAAGTAATGCAGTATCTGAGGTACCTCATAGCCATCCCACTCGCACTCGGCACCTTCGCTCTGCGTAAAGTCGTCACCAATGTACGCAGCTACAAAAGGTTATTAGAGCTGAGCATACATGTTAATTATCTCTCATAATTGTCCTGTATGTAGCTCTTTGTCCGGTACTTCAAATGGGACCGCTACTCGTCGGACTACGACGCACTCTAGGTTGTCATCACGGAATCCATCAAGTTTGTGTGCGTTGTCTTCATCCTGATCGAGATTTTCTACATCTTCTTCCTGTCCAACTCGTTTATGCGCTACGTGCTCGTCGTGGGATTTCTGAGTGTCGAACTAGTCGCAGTTCTCTCGGGCTTCACAGTGGTGAGCGCAAGGTCGCATCATCCTGGAGTATACAGCCGAAATCTAACGATGTTATTGTCTTGCTAGCTGAAAAACGTGGCAACAGGACTGTTCCTTATCTTTGCAGAGCCTTTCCGGACGGGCAGTGAGGTCAAAGTGCGACAATTGTTGGGCTTTATCGAGCGGGTATCACTCGCAAGGACGATCATGCGTCGAACTGATGGATCGCGGATATTTGTACCGAATGGCATCTTCTCTGACAATTACCAGACCAGCGGCAACGCCCTAGACGCCCATACGCACTCACTGATACTAAGTCTACACCCTGCTACACCCGCTCAAAAGATGAAGCAGCTTGTGCACGAGTTGCTGGCCGTCTTGCCGGCATATGCGCTGACGACGGAGGCGCTTACAGCTCTACGAAGAGACCGACGCGAAGCTTTCCATAGATCCAGCAGTGCTAGCAGCAACACCAGTGCAGGGAGCGACGACAGCATTTTGAGCGACCGACAGCGATCCACTGCAACCAGCGACGCCAACACCAGCACGTCACGTACACGTGGTAGATCAAGCGCCACCTCCAGCGCGTTCGATGCGACTGGCCGACCGATTGCAGCGCCCCCACCACCTGTGCGTGTAGAGCTCCACGCCATGTTCAAGGTGAAAGTGATTGTCCTGATGGATCGCGAACGTTTTAACTCACTTGAGGCTGCGAAAACACAAGTGAGTCAGTGAGTTTCGACTGCATAGAAACCGGGGATTCTGACTTAATATCTGTGTTGCTAGGTGAATCTCGCCATCATCGACACGATCCAGCGACTTGGTGTTAATGCGCAACAAACAACGCGCTGATTTTAACACCTCCGTTAACTTATACCAGGTCGGCGTGAGGTCGACGATGTCGTAACATATTGCGCTCATTGAAGACCCGCCGTCCGATTGGTTCGCTGGCTTGAGTTGCTCGCCCACGTCGACGGTTCCCTACCAACGCTGGTAGCGGCGCTGAGCTGAAACTCGAGTGTCGCTCACTTAAATCTGGCACTGCAGTTCCGACTGTAGACAGTGGGGGAGCTGAAACACGCGGACTGATTTCACCTTCTTCCCCATGCAGATTCAGCTTGAGTTTGGCCACCATCTCAGTAATCTGAAGCACGATCTAAGACAAGCAAAGACAATGTAAGCTTTCAGTCTTCAAGTCGTCGTCACAATGACAACAAACCTCGGTCTTCTCGGCTAGGATTCCCTTTATGTGCCGCTCCTGGGAGTAATACACAACATGCACAAGGTATGGCGCCTCGATGCTGATCCAGAAGCGCCCTGGCGACTGCGTCTCTTCGATCGAAAGTTTCTTGCTGTGCTCGTACACATTCATCACATCCCAGCCACCTTTGGGCTTCTCGAGACCCAGCACGTCCCCTTTTGTATTCGTTTGACGATCAATCATGTGCTGCGTCAGAAGATTATCCAGCTCTTGGATGAAAAGACGAAGTATTGTCGTGGGTGTCGAGTGACTTAGATGCACAGGAACGACACGGCGTCGATCCAGACTCTTGCTCTGCACTGTCATCGAGTTCTCCAGCATAATGCTGTTGGGTATGTAAGCCAACCCTTTGTCGTATTGACGCAGTGAAAACCCCTGTAGAAACAACCGCTCTACCACACCTTCGTGACCTTGAAACGACACATGTAGTCCGCTTTTGATCTGCTCGTCTTGCAGCGACATTAACCCACCCATTATATTTTTCAGCTACAATAAAAAAACACTCATTAGCTTTTTGCATACAGACAACTCACAAGACTGTCAGCTTACCCAGGAATGAGCACCAAATACGAACACGAACTCCACCATGACCACCGCTACTGTGGACACCTGCCCTGACTCAAAGTCCGTGAAGCGCCCGATCTCGTCAATTATACACGTAGACACTACTGCCGTCACTAATAAAACTTTGATGACCTGTCGAATAAACACAAAGCTCAGTAAATTATAGTAGTAGCAACTACCTGTACTACATATCGTACCCCAAATGCCCTCCGTAATGATCATAACTCCTACTATAGTCGTTCATTGTCTTTTTGATACA